GTCATAAAAAGCAAAATAAAGACACATGTGCTAGCGAGTGCTGGGAACATCAGGACACTGTGTCCAAGGAAGGTCTCCTTAGTGTTCTGGAGAAGGCAGGAAGTGAGTCTGGGAGATGCTCCATGACCTGGGATCCTAGGCTTCTTACCTAGTTTGGTTGTTGAAAACTCTACAAAGACCCCCGTGCTAACTAATGGCTTGGTCCCTAGGGTGGTGTTACTGGCAGATGGTGGAACCTAATCAAAGGTCTCCGAGTCACCAGGAGCATGCCCTGATGGGGATTATGGACTCTAACTTCATTCTTCGGCTTTCCTGGCCTTCTGACCCTGAGGTGAGTGACAGCATTCCACCACATGGTCCCACTAATGTTCTGTCTTGACACAGCCCAAAGAAATGGGGAGACCCAACCATGAGGGCCAAATAAACCCCCCCAAAGAGTGAGGTAGATGAAGCTTTTCTCTTTGCAAGCTGATTGTCCCAGGTATAGAGTGACTAGAAGTTTGCCCAGACAAGAACAAGCCTCACGCAGAAGCACCCTAAAGCGCTCAGTGCAAGGCAGGCATCTTACACGTGATGACCTGAACTCCACGCTGAGCCTGGGCTCAGCTGCTGACTCATGAGACCCTAAGGGAGTACAAAGAACTGGTCTTCATAGTAGGGGGTCTCCCAAGTTTTCACCAACAGAAACTCCATGCTCTCTCTCCTTTTTAAAGTGTAACCAGCACAGGCATTGTTCCCAGCACTGGCACTAGATATACCACCTGGAAGGAGCACTGTGAATACCAACAGAACCTGCTGGAAGTCTGGGCAATGCAATGAAACTAGTATGTTTATATCAAACAACTTTACAGGGTCCTTGGTTACCCTTGAGTCAGCCCCCATTGTTACTTTCTCAGGGGCTTTACACCAGGGCCTTTGTTAGGGTTTCTACTGCTGTGATAAAACACCGTGACCAAAAACAAGCATGGGAGGGAAGGGTTTATTTGGCTTACACTTCCACAGCACTGCTCATCGTCAAAGGAAGTCAGGACAGGAACTCATGTAGGGCAGGAACCTGGAGGCAGGAGCTGACACAGAGGCCATGGAGGGGTGCTACTCACTGGTTTACTCCTCATGGCTTGCTCAGACTGCTTTCTTTTAGAACCCAGAACCAGACTCTAGCTTACGTCAAAGTGACGTAAAACTAGCCAGCACAACTGACCCTTATCACTTGACACACAAATATATCACTATTAAGATATATGTTTTCTTATTCATCCTCAAGATCTCACATGAAGGAGGCTGGAGAGATGGCTCAGTGGTTAAGAGCGCTTCCTGCTTTTCTAAAGGTCCTGAGTTCAATTCCCAGCAACCACATGGTGGCTCACAACCTTCTGTAATGAGATCTGGTGCCCTCTTCTGGCCTGTAGGCATGCGTGCAGGCAGAATACTATAAACACAATAAATAAATATTTAAGAAAAAAAAAACAAGATCTCACATGAAAAATAAGAGGACCTTTAAAAGTCCACATTCTCAACAAATTGAAACACATTAAAAGTTCAGTCCCTTTAAAATATCCAGTCTCCTTAAAAAATCCAAAATCTCTTTTAAAGGTTAAAAATTTCTCAGCTGTGGACTTGTGTAAAAATCAAATGTAAATGTCATACTTTCTTACTTCAAGAGGAAAGAACCGAGGCACAGGCACAATCTGAAGAAAGCAAAACCAAACTCCAAGTGTGTAGATAACTCAATGCCTGGTTCTTTGGGACTCACTCATGTTTTCTGGGCTCCTGCAAGGGGCTTGGGTCATCTCTCCAGCTCTGCCCTCTGCAGCAACACGCGTGTCCTCCAGGCTTTGGAAGCCTCCACCCCACTGCTGCTGCTGTTCTTAGTGGTCGCCCCATGGTGCTGGCATCTCCGAAATGCTGGATCTTCTGCTGCACCTGGGATGCACTTCCTTTCACCAATTCCCCCTCCTAGGGTCTCCTGATGGTGCCAAGCCTCAGTTTCTCTCCATGACCCCTTTAGCTCTGGGTCTTCATCTGCTGCTGAGGCTCTACTTTCTCCAATGGCCTCTCACAGTGGTAAGACTCAGCTGTTCTTCATGGCCGCTTCATGTTTTCAAAACCAGTGCCATTTGGGGCACTCTTACATGATGAGAGTCCCCAAATAGTATACAGTGAATGTACTGTTGATAGCTCTATTCTACTAGACAAATCCACAGGAGTGTGGACACTCCTGACTTGCAAAACTTCGGGAACACCTGTCTTTTGGATAGTCACTGTCAATTCTGCAGAAATCTGTGAAATCATGACGTTTCTCCCTTCCAAAATATCCCAGCAGTGTATAAACCATTCACTGAAATAACTTCTTCCTGTACAGTCAACTGTATACCTTTTTCCACACCATGGAGCCCTGGTGTGGAAGCATTCGCTCAGTCAAACCTGTGTTCTCAGAGTCAAATCTATATAAGTTAATGCCCCACAAGTATCTTTATTGACAGAACTCGTTGACAAGAAAGGAGTCCCAAGCAGGAGGCACTGAGCAGAGAGACAGTATGTCTACTCTTACTGATAAACAGGTCTGGGTGGCCTTGAATTCTCTAGCAGCAGACTCAGGAAGGTGTAATCTACTGGCCTTTTGCTCTAACCTAACAAGCTATTAATATTCTGCATTTACCCTTCACCTTGGTTTCAATTAACGTAAGATCACAGCCCAGAAAATTAACTGTTTATGCCTTTACCCCTAGAGATGCAGGAAAAAGGCTTGGGTCACTAAACCAGACCCAGAGAAAGAAATTCCTTCTCCCCTGGGTGCCAGCAGGTAAGTCAGGTAGCTGGATGCAAATCAAACACCTTTGCCTTTCTCCCAGGCCTGCGGGTTACTATGGCTACCAGCGCTGTGTTCTCTGCCGCCAGGGAAAGAAGCAAAAGTGCTCAAAAAGTGCCACAGCACTGCTGCATTTTTCTACAATAATTAATCACAAACTTCCAGCCTGAATAGTCACACTTAAGAAACGTAGTCAGTGCACGAAAACGACTTCTTAAAATTTTGTATTGATTCTTAATTAATCCAGTATCTGCTGGGGAGCTTCACAGCCACGCCCCCTCTGAGACACAAGGCACCTCCTTGCCAGGTCCACCTGATTTTTATGATTCTGTGAAATGCATGCTTGTTAACTCTCTGTGGGTATGCAACCTGCAAACCACGTGGGATGGGAAGCAAAGCAAGCAACAGCATGAGACATCGAAGGGGAAACATAAAGAAAGCTTTGAAGATAGCGCAGGAGAAGTAAATGAGACATGATAAAATGACTCATTGTGAGCGAATTTATTTTATTTATCCTCAGATTATCTTTAGCTGGTTTTTGCCTCCTGTGGCAATCCTTCTGAACCCTGAGAGGATTAGTGGGGTTTACCCCCAACACTTACAGGACCAAGTTTGGCTGCCAGCACCAAGTACAACTCTGGCCACCTCTAAACTCAGCTTGCATATGCCGACTCTGAGGAAATATTTCCCAGATCTCACCTCAGTGATGCTGGTCTCTTCCTAATGGCAGGTTCTCCAACCCCAGCAGACCAACAGCCATTGTCCCAGCAAAACAAAGGATTTACCTTAGTGGTTTGGGTCTCTTGTTAACCACAGCTGATTCTTCAGCTCCAGCTGACGAGACACTACAGATTCTAAACACAAATGACCCAGCAGAGTTTTTTTCTTCCCTTTGAGACTTCCTAAGTCAGGCCTTTATCATCTGCACTGCCTTCAACATTCTTATCTTCCACGCTCCTTCAGAACAGCCTACTGAGCTTTCCACACTCAGTGACTTTTCTAGCCCAAAGTTCCCAAGTCCTTCCATGATCCTCTCCAAACACCAACGCAGCAATAGTCCATTATGCTGGCGCCTATCTTAGTTAGGGTTACTATTGCTGTGATGAAACACATGACCAAAAGCAAGGGGTTGGTTTATTTGGCTTATACTTCCACATTACTGTTCACGATCAAGGGAAGTCATCACCGGAACTCAAGCAGGGCAGGAGCCTGGAGGCAGGAGTTGACACAGAGGCCATGGAGGGGTGCTGCTTATTGCCTTGCTCCGCATGGCTTGCTCAGCCTGCTTTCTTATAGAACCCAGGACCACCTTCCCAAGGATGGCACCACCCACAATGGGCTGGACCCTCCCCCACTGATCACTAATTAAGAAAATGCTTTAGAGGCTTTTTTACAGTCCAATCTTTTTTTAAGTATCGACTTTTTTATTTAAAAAAAAAACTATCTTATTTTACATACCAATCCCAGTTCCTTCTCTCTCCCATACTCCCTGTCCCCCAGCTTCTCCCCATCCTACCCCCATCCACTCCTCAGAGAGGGTGAGGCCTCCCATGGGAGTCAACACACTCTGTTACATCACTGGAGGCAGGGGCTTGGTCCAGTCTTATGGAGGTGTTTTCTCCCTTGATGCTTCCTCATCTCCAGTGACTCTAACTTATGTCGAGTTGACATAAAAGTAGCCAGCACAGCCAGGAAGACACACACCTATAAAAATACTCTGGTACCCATAGTGTACTATTCTCCATGATCTGTTGGCATCTGGTGTTGGGGAATTGAATGCACCTGTACCCTATTGCTGCATAAAACTAAGCAGCTACCAGAACTTGACTATTAGCCGCATTGGGAGGCATCTACCCAAAAGAACCTCCCTAAGAACCTCCCATTGCCACTTAATGCAAATCAACAGATGTCATTATGTCATGTAAAACTTCAGAGTTAACAAAACCAAATGAGAGCAATACCGACCCATTGAAAATGTTTGGGACTATGTGAGTATAATATTACCAGGACGTAATATTCTAAGCCCACAACATCTTGATGTTTAGTGATGAGGCTTTATGGCATGTACTCATAAGGACATACTAAATAGAGTAGTTTTACAATTGTCTTTCACAGAAATTGAACTGATTAATAATCATAGTAAATACCTTCCTGCAGCTGTATCAGACATAATGTTTGACAAAGAACTTACGTCTAAAGAGTCCTCCTTCAATAGGATAAGGGCCATGTTCTGTGACACCAGCCGACAGGAATACCCTGAAATGGAGAAGGGACAACATGTAAACTTCATCCTTCCCGGGAATTCCTAACTCAGTGACTGAGACTTCTCTTCTCTTCTGAAGATTTATTAAATTTTTATTTGTGTATGTGTGAGGGTTTGCACAAACGGGTGTGCAGTACCCAACATATGCACTTGAGTGAAAGTCAGAAAAGGGTTTCTGGGGTCCTCCCCAACCACCTTCTTCCCATTTCCTTGAGACAGGGTCCTCCCTGAATAGGGAGCCTATGTTTTTTCAGTTGGACTGGAAGCTAATAAACCCCAGCCATCCTCCTGTCTCCACCCCACTTGAAACTGAGGTTACACGCATACTCAGAGATCCATCCCACAACCTCCCTCAATTTTGTCAACCTCGTCACAATAAACCCCAGCCATCCTCCTGTCTCTGCCCCACTTGAAGCTAAGGTTACACGCATACTCAGAGATCCATCTCACAACTTCCCCCTTATGTCAATCTTGTCACTATTGGCTAGAGGACTAGGGGCATGAGCCTAGGCTCACTTTGGACCTTGCAAACAGCTTGAAAAGACAAAGCTGGGAAGGTCTTTATAACTAATGGCTAAAATAAGTACTTGCCAATTTTCTGTGAATTTTTTCTTTATTTTGGATATTCTGGAATAACATTAAGACAAACTTTGGTTTACCTAAAATAACAGCAAACAGATTACGGAGATGAATGGAATCTATGCTCCTAGTTAGCATGGCCACTGCACAAGCAAGATAACCTTTTTCTTACTAGAGCTGGCAATTCTCAGAAGTCTCAAGGAATATTAGCTAGCATACCAAGGGAGTTGTGCTCCTGCCAAAAGATCAACACAATCACCATCTAAAGAAGGGAGCCTAACTTTAAGTAAATAAATAAAGATGTTTAAAACAAGAGTATTTTCAATTAAAATCAACAATGTCAATCTTGTTCTCAAATCAAACTATCTCTCACTAAGGATGGTTGACAAAGCCTCAAAGAATTGTATTACTTTTTATTTACTTAAAGTTAAATTATATGCAATATATACAACATATGTCTACATATTAAAATGAAATTATGCATATTGGACTAATAATAGTCCCCAAGAGCCATAGACTGTCTAACAAAAACTCCAGTACCATGCATGAGAAAACTTTTGGACAGGCTGGGCCATGTGACTCCCCAAACAATCCAGGCTATTGCCATTGCCCTCGGTTGCCTCTCAGTGGCTGAAGGCAACTAAGTTCCTGTCGCTGAAGAGCATACACTTCCAACACAAGGCTCAGAAGGTTCATGCTGGATCTAACCTGAAAGCCTCCTTCCTGCAGTCTAGTTTCATAGGATCAGAAAATACCATGCAAGTTTCCATGTGGGCGACACAACCAACATTCCTATCTAGCTGTGAGGCCAATGAACCGTTAACAATGACCAGAACGGCAAACTATCTTTAATGGTATAAGAATGGCGCTCATATCTCAGCAGTAACCAATGGCTGTCTGATTGGACTTAGGGTCTACCTGATAGGACCGAGATCATGCCTGGTACAAGAAACCTAACTAACAACCTGGGGCTAGTGAGGTCATGATTCTTAGAAAAAAACTACTCCCCATCACAGACACAAAACAGAACTCAAAGCAGACAAAAAGTAAGACCAAGAAAATCTGTTGTAGGTTGATTTTTGGCTTTTTTGTAAACAATAAATATTTTCACTTGTTCATTTTGGAATGGACACCAGAACCTTCTCTCAGAATTGCCATTTGTTTAAGACAAATATTTGTTTAAAAGTGCCTCAGATAACAAACATAATGGCTTCCAACAAAAACATTACTTTTGAAACCATATCAAAAAATTTATTAATTATACAAATAAGTAACTTGGAGCTTCTCAAGTAACATTGCTCTTAAAGACAAAGCTAGTATAGAGTGAGCATTCCTTATTCCACAGGCCTGAGACTAGACATGTTTCAGATTTTCTTATTTTTAAGTATGTGTATTCAAAGCAAGCCTTAATTTTGAAATGTTTGCATAAATATTATTGGTTGAGCATTTTTGACTGAAGACTCTAAAATACAAAATGCTTCAAAATCTGAAACTGATCAGTTTTGGATGTGGAAGCATTTCAGATTTTTTATTTATTTTGAATTGTTTTTATTGAGTAATATATTTTTTCTCTGCTCCCCTCCCTTCCTCTCCCCTCCCCTTCTACCTTCTCCCATGATCCCCATGCTCCCAATTTACTCAGGAGATCTTGTCTTTTTCTATTTCCCATGTAGATTAGATCCATGTCTGTTTCTCATAGGGTCCTCACTGTTGTCTAGGTTCTCTGGGATTGATAACTTATGTTGGAGAGGATGTGGGGCAAAGGGAATACTCCTCCATAGCTGGTGGGAGTGCAAATTGGTACAGCCACTTTTGATATCAGTATGGTCATTTCTCAGAAAATTAGAAAGCAAACTACCTCAAGATCCAGCAATACCTTTTTGGGTATATAACCAAAGAATGCTCAATCATACTACAAGGACATGTGCTCAACTATGTTCATAACAGCATTATTTGTCATAGACAGAACCTGGAAACAAGCCAAATGCCCCTCAACCGAGTAATGGATAAGGAAAATGTGGTACATTTACACAATGGAATACTACACAGTGAAAAAAAAATGACATCTTGAAATTTGTGGGCAAATGGATGGATCTAGAAAACATCATACTGAGTGAGATAACCCAGACCCAGAAAGACAAATATAACATGTACTCCTCATAAATGGCTTTTAGACACAAAGCAAAGAAAAACCAACCTATAATTCACAATCCTAGATTTTTAAAATTTAGGTTTAAGGTTTTCTAAGGTGTGCCAGGTCTCAGGCTCTTGACTTCTGCTCAGATCCTGCTGTTGGAACTCCTTCAGCCAATAGCTTTTAAGATACTGGCCCACTTTGGGCATGGTCTCATGTACTATATATGCAGAACAAAGGAGTGTATGGGCCCTTTGGCTGCTGGCTTCAGTTCTGGTTCCCAGCACACTGCAGAGGACTGCAGATGGCTACCAATTCTGTGAGTTTACCCCATGATAAATAAACCTTTATTATACATCATTCTGGGCTAGTGTAGAAATATTTCCTTTTGCAACAAAGATATTAGCTAAGTAAAACAGAGATTAAAATTAATTTACTCAATTCATGTTAGCCAGATAAAGTAGTCTGTTTCTAGGATATTCTTAGTTGTTTTTTCCCTGAGTTGTCAGTAATTTAATATTTATAATTGCTTTTTAGATAGGGTCTCATGTAGCTCTGGCTGACCTGGAACTTATTATGTAGACCAGTCCAGTCTGAAAATTACAGAGATCCACCTGCCTCTGTTTCCAGAGCTCTGGTTTTAAAGGTGTGCTCCTCTCTGCTTATTATTTATATTTGGAAGAAGTAGAATGATCTCACCATTTCTCTGCTAAGCTAATATTAGTGCTTCTGTACTGAATGTTTAGAAAGTAGTGTTCATAGGACTGCAATGTTCTGGCCAGAGCTTCAAATAAGAACTTCAGAAACACCCTATCGACTACTCATAGACTATCTGCAATTGTACCAGACACTAATCTTGAAACTTAACCATAATTTTAGTTTTACAGGATCCTATAAAAATAACATTGCCCCATGACAGCTGGAAGTAATTCTAGAAGAATATGTCCTCTCTCCCAATAAGTTTTGTCCTCAGGGTTTAGGACATCTATTAGAAGTTGGTTATAAGTGGTATAGGATTGGGAGTGGAAATTAAGTAGGCTCTGGAATCCCTTTTTTTTTTTTTAAAAAAAGGAATTGGATGGGATAATAGGTAGATAGGTAGATTAGTGTGAATAAGTTCACACTAACAATAATAGTGAGTAACAGTGAGAATACTCGTGAGTTATTATTTATAGAAAATTTACATTGGTATAGATTCTTATATACTGATACAAATTCAAATTATATTTGTTATATTGAATATGATACTATTTCTGTTGACAATATTTGTATATCTATGCAAAGTTATTTTGTCATATTGTATTATGTATGTTTTTACCTCTGCTTAAGATATTTTGTGTATTGATGCAATTTTAGGATATATTTATCATACTGCACCATACATTTCTACCTCTGATCAAGATACTTATACACTGTTTACATTTTGAGGTCATTGTCCTCATTTGCTGCATATTTGTTTAAAGATTGTTTAACATTTTAATATGAAGCCTTAGTCTTTAAGTTATATAGGCATTAAGAATTATAAGTCAAAAAGAAAAAGAATTATAAGTCAATAATCATCCATGTTTGTTATACTTAGACTAATCAGGTTCTTTAGATTCACAGATAGTTTTGATTTGCCTGGACCTTCTGGTTCCTATTGGAGTAGCCTATGAGAGCATCTTGTGTCGTGATGCCTACCAATGGTTTTCATCCATCCACACGCAGGCGTTCATTGGCCAGATTCTCTGGAAACAACTGAGGACCTCCAACACAGCCCACTTTTGTGGACTGGCACCATGTTGAAGCACAGTGGTGGCTGCCTGCTGTTGCTGCGATCCCAGAATGTACGATCAGGAAGGATAGATAAATTCTTTCCAATCTTTCAAACATGTCTTCATAGAAATCTAGATTTAGACATGTTTGGGAGTGTGAGCTTACTCTCTCCACTTTCCCTCCAAAGGCGAACACTCGTTGGCAGAGCTAAAAGCTTTAGGTTGTGAGAAGATAAAAACGTTTCCTGCGTGATGTTAATTTTAACTGTGGTGAGAAGTCACCCCAGAGGTGTCGCTCTCAGCCCCTCTTGGCTGGCCATCTTACGAATTCTGAGATTAAAGAGCTAGATCTCAATTTACAAGTGTGGGTTGAATTCTTTACCTGGCTCTTCTCCAAGAATTGATCTCATGTCATCCAAAACCATTAAACATCAAGAGCAACAAACATGGGTTGGTGCTCACACAGTTAAACGCCACAGGTCTGTTGAGGGCAGGTGGTCTCGGATAATTTTCTGAGCGAAACCCAACTTCGTTTTCCAAATGAAACAAAACAGCTTAATCTGCTTCTCCTCAGGAGCCTTCCGCTTTCTCTTTAAATCCACTCAAGTGTCACTCACGTACTCATTGCCCCCTCCCGCCATGCTGGAGCGGAAGTACTTAGGGGGTTCTCCACCATGTCTTTGTGGACCCTCAGTTGTCAAACAGCATTTTGCTTAAATTGCAAACTACGAAAATGAAGCAGAAACCCAGGGTTTAAAAATTACAGCTTGCTTCAGCAGCTGCTGGTCAAATAAAATACTTCCAGTAAATCCTTCTGCAAGAGCGCCAGTAAATCTGTAGCAGTCGGGCTGCCTAGAGTTGCGGGAAGTCCCTAGGGATCAAGAGGTAGGCCAACAAGCAGGGAAACAGTTACTCAAAATGTCTCCCTTTTGAATGAGAAAATCAGATATAGCCCTTCCTTCTGGAGCTAATCTAAAAACGTACAAGAGGGAAGAAAGCATTTGTGACTCCCAGAACCACTCAGCGCTACCCACCACTGCAGTTAAAATGGGTCTGTATTTGTGTACAAAACTGTTTGTGTTAGTTACCTCCCTGTCTTTAATCTTTTTAAAAGGATCCTAACATGTTTATTTGTCCATCTGGTTTTGGAGTTTTAAATGATTCCATCTCTTTTTGTTTTAAAAATACCTGGTAGTTTTAACCAGAGAAATAACGACATTCCATTAATGTAACATAAACAGCTTGGGTTCTCTTAGGGATGAAAGAATACCGTAGAGCAGACAGGACACATCCATGCTGAACTCTGCCTCCTGTCCACTAGTCCAGTGCCTGTCTGTTGGCGGAGTTCAGCACATGTGTGCATGGCCGTCCAAATGCTCTGCGGTAGAATACAGGCTCCTCCTCACGTTAGGAGCACGATCGACCCTTTCCTTCAGGGTCATCACTTACTTGCTTGATGTCTGCCATTTTCCATGCTAAGATGCATTTCACTCAGGATATGGGGAGATGAGGAAGGTTATGCATGACCTTAGTAGGTTAAGCACATTTTTCTTATCAGCATCAGAGGCAGAAGGCATCCACCCCAGGGCAGCAGTCAACTTGTTCTGCCCTCTGGGATGGGGCTCATAGGTTTCAGCAAGGAAAACCCTGCTTAAGACCAAACTTACAGAGGGAAAGAATGCATGAAGGACCAGAATAAATATATGCAAGGAAAAAAACAGTACTGAAAAAGCAAATACGTTCCCTTCATTTGAGACTGTTACTGGCACATGAAAGGGCTATACGCTTGAAGGTTTACTTTCTAGTAATGGCAATGGGTCGGTAGAGAAATGTCACCACACTACTGTCCAATATCATACACTTGAGTGACAGCGGCACGGATGTACAGTGTCCACTGTGGGTGTCTCAGAGACCCAACAAGCACTTCCTATTCTCTCGTGAGTCTAGTGTCAAATGTTTGAGAGCCTAAAGTGCATATATTTAGTAATTATCTCAGATTTCTAAACATGATTAAAAATTTTGAAAATGATCTGCCTAGTTTTTAAATAAAATTCACCCCTGTGGGAAGGTGTTGTCTGTAGCTGAGGTTGTCTGGGGACAGCTGATTCCAAAGAGAAGAGCATGAAGAAAGGGCAGCCATTGGCATAAGGCACAGAAGCCTGAGGGACCTAGCCTGAGGAGGGCCAGGCTGCTGACGTCAGAGTTTCTAGCATACTTTCTTCTAAGATGAGCCAGGACAGAGTATGTACATGAATAAATAAGAGACATAGTGCTTGGATTTTTTTCCTTTTTGGCGTGCTGAGGATTTGTGCACACTAAGCAAGCATTTTCTACCCCCGGTTACGTTTCCAGCCCACGAGGTTTACAAACCTATGTATTTGCTTTACTACAAAAATGCCAGGTCTCATGAAGCCAGAATGCCAAAGAGCCAGGTGGTTTAACGTTAACTGAAATGAGCGGAGCTAGATTTATTTTAAGTAGTAGCAGCTTCAACTCCTTCCTACGCCTAAAAGTGATTTGGTTTTTATCTAATTTTCTTAACAACTCATTAAATAAGCAACCAATAGTGGTTTTTAATATTTTCATGCACATACCTTATTGTTCTTTGCTCATTTCGCCCCTCATCACCTTCCCCCCCCCAGGGGTCCTCCTTCCACTCCCCAAATGGAGTCCCCTTCGGCTCTCATGGCACTGCGTGTATACATACTTAGATTTACATCTAGGTTCTCATACCGTTCATGTGCAGTACTGAACTCTCTCTTTATCATCCCTGCTTTCCCCTTCAGACTCCCTCCTCACCCTTGCATTCCCCTTTTAACCTGCCTATCATATGTGTGTGTTCATCTAGACTTAAACCTATGAGATGGCACCCGTTAGAGAAACATGTGGCATTTGTCTTTCTGAGGCTGGCTTATTTGGCTTAATATGTTAAGACTCTCCAGTTCCATCCATTTTCCTGAAAATGACATCACTTCCTTCTTAACAGGCTACGGTTACTGAGCATACAACACCTGCGTTTTACCCATTCGTCTGCTGGGGGACACCTAGAGGCTGGTCCACATCTGGGCTACCACCAATAGCACATCCGTAAATGTGGACATGCTTGTCTCCTCTAGAAATATACTCAGAAATGGTGTAGCTGGATCACACAGCAGTTCTACAGAATGTGTGTCATTATCAATGTCAGTGACTTGAAGTCCTTTTCCTTCAAGTGGAAAGGGTGGGGAAGACAAAGGTGAAAAGCCCCCAGAGAGGCCCGCTTGGAGTAAAGTCACTCACACTGGCCATAACGATGGAAAGTAGCAAGGAACCTGTAAACCTAGTGAGATCATCTGTCAAAGAAAACTCAGGAAAGAAAGCCATCGAAAATAATCTACATGACCAATTCTTAAATTCTCTTTTCTACCTAAGAGTGGTTAATTCATTTCAAGAGGCCATAGTGACTTGTTTGCATGAGTGTGTACATGTTCACATGTGTGTGCGCACGTGAGTGTGTGTATATATTTGTAACAAGCAGAACAGACTCATATGAGCATTTCATTGGAGTCTTGGTGGATCTTTGAAACAAAAGAGAGATTTGTAAACTGCCAACACAGTAGAAGGACACACATTTTTACAGCAGAAAAGAGCACCCGGAATTTTATAGAACTGATTACCGATATTGATTGCAGTTTCTTGCTTGTCTCCTGTTAAGACCCATATTTTAATTTCTGCCTTCAACAGAGTAGCTATGGTTTCGGGAACCCCGGCTTGAAGACGGTCTTCGATGGCTGTGGCTCCAAGTAACAGTAAATTCTAGATCAGAAAATAGTATCTGTTAGAGGACAGTTCATCTTTAGGAGCAGAGACGCTGACATCCCTGATAGGATCGTTGCTTATGAATGACATTCAACGGTGAAGCAGTCACAAACCATTGATTGTGTTGAGCTATTCAAAACACTCCCGTCAATCATTCAGTGGTACTTGGGTGTCCTGTTTAGTTTTGACCAACTCGACACAGGCTAGAATCACCTGGGAAGTAAAGTCTCAGTTAAGAAAATGCCTCCATCAGATTGACGGGTAAGCGGGTCTCTGGTGCACTTTTTGCATTGACTGATGACTGAAGTAGGAGCTCGCTGTAGGCAGTGCCAGTCCTGGGCAGATGGCCCTAAGTTTATAAGAGCAGGCTGAGCAAGCCAGAAGGAGCAAGCACGGAAGCAGCACCCCTCCATGGCCTCTGCTTCAGTTCCTCCCTTGAGTTCCCACCCTGACTTCCCTCCATTGTGGGGAAGAAGAGAAATCCTGAATGTGTACTCTTTGACATGGGCACGGTCACATCATGGACCATTGCTTCAGGCCACGGGCATGACAAAGCCTTCCCTGGGTGAGGCTTAGATGGATGACAACACTTCCCTCTGGGCCCAGTGCAAGCGTTGACAGTGTGTGCAGAAATGTCTATCACAGCTTTCTCCTCCCCTGGATGTTTACAGCATGAAGACTGCTCCCCTACAGAAATGTTCCCATAGAGATTAGCTGAACCTGTCTCCTTGTTCAATTGTATGCAATAAGCCTGTCTCTTTATCTGTATGTGATAACCCTGCCTCCCTGACCAGCTATATGCAACAACCCCATCCCCTTGTTCAACTCTTTATAATAAGCACATTGCATTTCTCCAACCAAGAGTTCAGACGCCCAATCCCAGCTTTTCTGTGTCCATGTGTCTGTGTGTTTGCCAGTTTTTCGCCCCCTCACTGTCCTAGACAGGATTTGGGAACCCAAGCTGGCTTGGATACAGCACTTCATGATAGATTCTAGCTGTAAATTGAGATAAACCCTTTTCTCTCCAAGTTGCTTTTGGTCATAGCATTTATCACAGTGCCAGAAAGCAAATTGAGACACTGGGCATCATCTAGAAACAGAGTCTGTGGGGGCTGGCCTTATACTAAACACATGAATGAGGTCATTATCAAGATAAATTTACCTATCAAAGAATTGAGTCCCATTGTGACAGTTATCTGGCAGGATAGGAATTAAAAGCCTGTGATTGAAGAATTCAATAGTAGGGTGCTAGAAGTATAGTACAAGGGTACAGCAAGCAGCCCCAACTTCCATCCCCAGAACTATGCAATGGTTAGTGGAATAAACTCAAGGTCAAGGAAACTCCAAACTGCCGCCCCATCATCCTCTTTGAAGCAGAGGAAAGTCAACTCATGCAGAGGGCAAGTGTCAATGTGTCAGACTCCCTAGGTGCCTACACTATGCCTGACAAACTGGCAGGTACCTGAGAGACTGTGGAGAGGGCCTTCGTACTTATTCATCCCCCTTAGTCTGTAATACAGTACCTCAGTTTAGTTATCCAAGCAAAGAAAAACCCAACTGCTGTGTGATTGCCCACTACATGGGCATAACACCAATTTCGTCACTTTTCTGACCATAAACATAATATTCAATATTTCCAGTGTTGTTCATTGTACTTTTCTCTGTATTTGGGTAATAAAATGTGGTCCTAAATGGATGCTACACATAGGAAATGAAGAGGAACATCACTTGAAATGCAAAGAAACTGTAACCTAACCTAAGAGTATCCTAATAATCAAAGAAACAAGTCCTAGACAATCAGAGGAACTGGTCCTCTAGCCAACCAGGGACAGAAACCCACCCATAAAAGGTAAAAGTGACAGAAGCACACAGTTCTTTGTATATGTCACGTCGCCATCTGACAATATGTAATCCACAAGCGAATTGTGGTGGAACATCCTAGGCATCCTTTTCCACCAGTAATGCTGCTGCACTCAGGATCTTGTCTCCTTTAAGTAAACTGATAAACGTAACTGATTTCCATCAATAAAGCAGAGTGGTAGATACTTAGATTTGGTTCTATTTCCTACCCCAATTCCATCAAATAACTTGATATAAGCAGCTGAATATCAAACTCAAGCAGAAACTGGATATGGAAATTATAAAGCTAGAAAATGAATGAGAAAGGACAGCAGGCGATGGCCTCAAAGGTACAGAAACCAGAAGATGGATAGTCCAGAGGTTGCTGACATGACCCAAAAAGGTTGAAATCTAACTTCCAGATTTCCGGGTATTGAAATAAGAAATATAAAATTACCTAACATACTGGAACACACAGAAAAGAAAACACCAGGACAGAAAGCAAAGCAGGCAGCCAAGGGACAGTAAAGACAAAGCATGGGCATCATTTGAGTGAGTGTGGAAATTCTCCACGGATACAGGGTCTACCCAGCATGCACAGTGCTCCCCATGCATGGGGCTCAGCAGGGGAGCCAATCTTAGGGCCAAACTCAGGCAAAGCCAGAGCCATCAAAGCTGGTTTGCGTGTGTGTTTTTGTTCGTGTGTTTATATACTGATGCAATGAGTTTGTGTGTGTGTGTGTGTGTGTGTGTGTGTGTGTGTGTGTGTGTGCTTGTATGTGTATATGTGTATGCACATGCTTTGGATGTGTGCTTGTTCACATGTTTATATACTGACGTGTGTGTGTGTGTGTGTGTGTGAGAGAGAGAGAGAGAGAGAGAGAGAGAGAGAGAGAATGCTGTGTGTACTCACAGAGACCAGAGGACAGCCTTAAGCCTTGTTCATTGTGTATCATTCTCCCACTACCCTTTGTTTTGAGGCTGGGTCTCTCAATGGCTTGGAACTTGTCACATAAGTTAATCCGGCTGATCATCAAGTCCCAGAGACTCTTTTGTCTCCACCTCCCCAGTACTGGGGTCCCCAGTGGTGCCATCATTCTCTGCTCTTTTGTTTGGTTTTTTAAATAAAGGTTCTGAGGATCCAACTCAGGTCCTTGTGCTTGCAGGACAAGCCCTTTATAGACGGAGCCAACGTTTCAGCCCATCAGTACTAGTTTTGACCAGATATTTAAGGTTTCATCAATACCTGATTAAGGGTGACTAGACGTTTCAGACAACCTAACCTGAGAACATCCCAAAACAAAGGGATGACGAAAACCTAAGATCCATGGGGACAGTTAGAAAAAGCAACAACATTCCAAGATAACAAACGGAGTCTTATCGAAAGACTGCTCAGAAGTGTGCCATCCTTCACTGGGCAGACGCTTTGACTCGTGGAATTACCTTCTCGATGATCTCATAACACTCTTCTAGCCTCTGCGCTCTGTCCTTCAGTATGATGCTGGCCTCTTGATAGACTTTCAGCCACTCCTCATACTCATTCTCAGAAAGATCCGCGTAGGCCACACACAGAGTCCGCAGGCCTGCAAGAGAGCCGCAGGGAAGTGGTGGCGAGAAGGACACATCATATGACACTCTTTATGTCAGGGTGGCCCAAAAGTCACCTGCTTCTCAGGCCCCTCTAATGTAACGTTCACACGTCTACCAAGGGAATTTGAAAATTGACTATCGTGATGGTTAATATTGATTGCTAACATGCTAGGATGTAGAGTCGTCTAGGAAACACAGCTCTGAGCGTGTCTGTGGAGACTTTCTAGGTGCAGGGAGGAATGTCTATTCTAACTCTGAGTGAACCCATTCCACGGGCTATACCCTGTGTCCCTGTGTCCCTCGCTGAATACAGCACAGAGACAGCGGTAAGCACCAGCTTCATCTCCCTCTGCTTCCTACGATGCAATGCGAAAGGCTGCCTCAACTCCAGTCACCATCCCTTCACCTCCATGGTGAACTGCACCCTCAAACTCTGAGCCAAAATAAACCCCTTCTTTCTTAAGTGGCTTTTGCCAAGTATCTTGTTGTAGCATTAAGAAAAGTAATTCATATCCCCCCTGTGTTTTCATATAAACTAACATAAGCTGTCCTTCCTCTAAATTTAGGAGTGTATGAGATCCCGTGAGTGAATTTCCCACTGTGCAGCTCACATGTGTGTGTGTCACCGGCAGCTGGAAGCAGAGGAGTCAGGAAGCACATTTTAAGGCATCCATAAGAAGCCTATCGTGCTATGATGCGGAGAAGCTGGGTCCTCAAGCAGTCATGTCCTCACGTGTGTGCATGTGTCTAGACATGGAAGCATGCTACACTCAGAGAGGAACACTCATTGGTTACACATTCTCCAGCAGGAAAACCTGACATCACCATTATCCCAAGGTTTCCAGAGAGTTCCTTTCCTGCTTACAGTGAGCAATGAGAGTTATTATCTGCTTATGCCCTGGACAAGCCAGTGATAGCACCATGTCAGGGAAAGGACTCCTAGAGTATCCGAGCAAAGGGACAGTTGTGATTCTGTATGCTGTGGGTTAGCTGCCTCCTGTTTCCCTGCCACCTGGGAAGAGCAGAGTCAAACACAGGTCATTCATTTTGGACTCTGCCACTTGCTTCCTCACTGTCACAGGAGATGGGAGGGGACAAAGAAGGCAGCTGAAAACTCAATCCTGCAAAGCAAGTTGATACTACATGAGAAGCACACATCTGTCCAAAGGCACGCCTGCCTGCCCATGTAGCAGCCACAGGAACAAGAAAGCTCAGCTTCAGCATCAAAATTTTTTACTTACCTTCTGTGGCAAAATATTCCAGATGGCACAATGTCTCCTCCATGTACTTTGAGTCTTTTGAAAGTCTTTCAAAGATTACATTATCCTGCGAAAGAGGGAAACACTCACTGAGACGGGCAGGACCCAGAGAACATCTGCCAGTGGACACGCACAACATGGCTTTCTTCGTAAGTGTTTACCTAATGTACCTGAAAATACGTGACGGGGCAAAGAGTGGAGCTCTCAGTTGGGCCAAACGTGAGCTTTGCAAAATGCGCCCAACAATATCAAAAGTTGTGTGCATGTAAAAAGTCAAAAAGAAACAACGGGGAGATTCTGCGAGCAGAGACACGATCAAGGCTACCTCAGCGCCCACATTTGCTCACGCGTGCAAAACTCCAACCGCGAACCGAAGTGTTTCAGATTTGGGGTATTTGCAGATTTTGGAGTACATGTGTACACATATGATGTGATATCTCAGGGATGGGAGCGCGTCTAAACATTTATGTTTCGTGTCCACCCTATTCACACAGCCTGAAGATAATGTTATACCCTTCCCCCGGCTACATTTAGAGTGGAACTCATACCATGAAGTCGGATGTGGAATTTTCTATACCATGTCAGTGCTTACAAAGTTTTGGATTGGAGCTTTTTAAAATTTATTACGCTTTTGTAGTGTGTGTGTGTGTGTGTGTGTGTGTGTGTGTGCCTCTGTGTGTCTGTGCTTGTGTGTCTGGATGTGATGTGATGGACCACAAGGAGAGAATGGCGGAATGGGAGGTAGGGACGTAGGGAGGTCAGAGGACAGCCTGCAGGAGTCACTTCTCTCCGGGCTAAGGATCAACTCCCGTGGTTGGGCTTGGCAGCACGCACCCCCCACCTGCTGAGGCATCCCATCAGTGCAGATGTGGGAGGCTGTTTTCCGTTTGTCTTTTGCTTTTTTGAGGCAGGTTCTCACTGGAGCCCGCAGAGGTCTGCTTACCTCTGCCTCTCAAGGGCTGGGATGAAAGGTGTGAGCCACCATGCCCCGCTAATTCGGGATGTCTTTATTAGGGTGTTCACCCCGTAACATCTTTATGCAAAAGTGAAAATAATAAAGCAATACCCAATTTATTCTAATACAACCTTACTTGCCAATAATGGAAGTTCCCATAATCAAAGTGACCACGGGCCTGGAGCTTTTGACTAATGTTTGATGAGAAAAACCTAGTTTGGCACAGCCTGCACCTCATGACTGACAGGCAGGAATGGGTGCCTGTATGTTCCTGATAACCCACTATATAAATTAGCATCTTAAGACACTAATACTTTTTTTAAACTAAACTATCTTTTCAGAGGGGAGGGGAAGGTTTGGACAAAACTGACCCCACAAGAGTCTGACGGGCACGAGCAGCAATTTCACATCAACACTGCCTGCTTTCATCACGGTTCTCTTCCAGCTGCTGCAGCTACAAGCAGCACACAAAGCTAGCCCCAAAACAAGGTCATGTGATGCTGTGACCTCAGTGGCCTTAACTAAAGCTGCCACTACCATAAAGGTAGAATTCCTTTACCAAGGCGGTGGTGGCACGCGCCTTTAATCCCAGCACTTGGGAGGCAGAGGCAGGCGGATCTCTGTGAGTTGGAAGCCAGCCTGGGCTACAAAGCAAGTTCTAGGACAGCCAGAGCTGTTACACACATTGCGTTCCTAACCATGACTGAAGATGAGTAACCTTGGCTGCTCATCACTGACCCAGGTATATCACGGCATTGTCTCAAATTAAGTTTGATAATTTGTCCTTTCACCCCACAGAGCCACCATATAACAGGGTACAATTTTACAAATATAATTCATAAGCAGTAATAGCTTTCCTTAGCAATAACGTCTTTGGCATTGGGTTATTATTTGTTAGGGATATTGGAGAAAAAGCCAGACGTAGGAAAGAAGTACAAAAGGAACTGTAAAAATAGATCCACACGCGAACACACTCTTGTCCCCACAGCGCCACTCTCTCTGCCACCAGGAAGAAAATGATCCAGCAGATGGGAAGACAGCTGCTGGGGAACCAACAATATCGGAGGATGGAAAGTTTACCACAGGCCAACACAATGCCGTCACCTTTACAGTCGCCAACCGAGGATTCTGGGTGGCGCACCGTGTGTCCAAAGCTCACTACGGGATAAAAGCAGGCTTTTCACTGCCCACTCTTATCTAATGGCGCCTCGAACCCACGCTCTTGGTGTCCTATTGGAACTGTGTTGCAGCTTTGGGCAGACTGTGGAGGATATGGGCACAGCAGTTTGGGAAGCAATACTTCGGCAAAGCAGCCTCCAAGGAGATGGCCAAGCCCATTATGGCCCTGGTACTTACAGCTCCCTTGCAGTAGAGTCGAAGTTGTCCCGATGGAGTTCGAACAATGACAGACATCCTTTTCCTGTCACTGGAATAGTAAAGGAGTGGGGGTGGGGAGAAAAAAGCCATCACGTGTCTGCTTTATAGGACCCAGCTCCAATAACTGAGCACAGAACAAAAGGTGCCTAGTCTAGAAACAGCGAGTTCCATCTCTCCGCAGCTTTGTCCTCAAAGTAAAACTTCAACTGTATAGTTTACTCATTTATCCCAAACGGACAGAAGCTCACATGCCTTGCCGTGCCATAAGGACTCATGGCACCGCTGTTCGCCAAAGAGCCAGAAACGGAACATTTGCGCATGAGCTGGGCACGCGGAAGCACTGTCGAGCCCTTCGGGGACCACTCTATTTCACAGCTCCAGAGTCGCCCTCCCCCCGAAACAGCTAGGTAGGAGAGTCAACACACTTCAGAAGCCCCTTGTTGGATAAGCAAGTTACAAATTCGTAGACTTGGCTGGCCCAGCACCAGCTACTTTCTCTCCTCTCACTGTGGCAAAGATTCTTCCTTACACATTTATCCTCAGGGTTAAGCTCACTTGCTGAGCTTCAGGGACTTCTGCAGCTGGAGGCCCCCTAAATCGTCTTTCCTTACCTCTGTAGTGTTGACTCACTTCCCACTGGCCCTCTCATGCACAGCCATTCTCTTTCCCTACACTTTCTGGGCTGTGCTTTGCCGACACTTCCCCTACTAGAACACAACCTCGACTCCCGGGGCCTTTCCTTGTGGTGATCCGCACACTCTGAGTCACGGCACTCTCTGGGATGGGTCTTCACTCTCTCTCAGCTCCTAGGCTGCTTCATTTTCTTAATGTACAAAGCAGATGACCTGCGACTGCCCCAAAGCAATCTTACAGAAGGAAGTGGCCTTAGGGAAATGATGCGTCCATTACAATGTATCAGAACCTGTAACCATGATTGACACGTCTGCTCCTTCACTTTAGACACTAGACCCCTGTGTTTCCATCCACAGCCACCTGCTATTATCTCGTTCCCTTTCCTCTTCCTTCCGGGCTGGCTGTCAACAGCTGGCTGCAGTTAATGTAGCACAGGGCAGCAGTTGCCAGCAGGAGACATTCTAGGGGCTGGAAAGATGGCTCAGTGGGCGAAGGGCTCACAGTATGAGGATGAGGACCCAAGCATGGGTCACCAGCATCCACACGGAAGCAAGCCATGGTAGTGTGTCTCTAGAACTCAGGGCCAGGAGACTGGACAGGCAGATCCTGGCTTTTCGCTGACCAGCTGGTCTAAACAGTGAGCTCTAGGTTCAGTGAGGCACTGTGATGGCTGTCTGCTTCAAACACCAGGTAGAGCATGAGAAAGAAGACACAGGATTTCTACTTTTGACTTCCATAAGCACAGACACAGGAGAGCACACACATACGTGTAAGACACATGCATTACAAGCCAGGGGGAGGGAGAGAAGGAGGCAAGAAAGAGGGGGAAGAGGAGGAGGAAGAAGAGGAGGAGAAGGAGGAGGGGGAGGAAGAGGAAGAGGGGGAAGAGGAAGAGGAGGAGGGAGAGGAGGAGGAGGGAGAGAAGGAAGAGGAGGAGGAGGGAGAGGGAGAAGGAAGAGGAGGAGGGAGAGGAGGAGGAGGGAGAGGAGGAGGAGGAAGAGGAGGAGGAGGAAGAGGAGGAGGAGGAAGAGGAGGAGGAGGAAGAGGAGGAGGAGGAAGAGGAGGAAGAGGGAGAGGAAGAGGGGGGAGAAGAGGAAGAGGGTGAAGGGGGAGGAGAAGGAGGAGGAAGAAGAGGGGGAGGAGGAAGAAGAAGGGGAGGGGGAAGAGGAGGAGGAAGAGGGAGAAGGGGGAGGAGGAGGAAGAGGAGGAGGGAGAGGAGGAAGAAGAGGAAGAAGAGGAGGAGGAAGAGGGGGAGAAGGGGAGGAGGAGGAGCATACAGAAAGTCCCAGGAGGCATCTAGCATGGCGGGAAGCTCCAAGCAGGCACACCATCACCACCCCTACAAGAACTGCTGCCATCCTCTTCTCTGTGGCTCATCTGACCCCGAGGGCTTCTCCCCACAGAGCCAAGCTCATGGCTCCGAGCTCCAAGTTAGGCAGGAAAACATTTCCTTAGAGAGGACAGGAAAACGTTGCACTTTCCAAGCCATGGGGAACCATTTAACAAAGGTTCTAGGAAACTAAGTATTTTCATTTTTTTTTTCAGACTAGCCTGGAACTCATTATGTAGCTTACGTTGGTCTCAAACTTGAGGCTTTGCCTCAGTTTTTCACAGGCTGGAATTACATTGCCTGAGCAATCATGCCCACCTCCATCAATTTTTTGATATCAGGAAAAGGTGGTCTCAAGACAAAAAAAAAAAAAAAGTCACTCTAGTATTGGAAGGCAGCTCTGCTCATGTGGCGTAACCACAATGCCGTCCCTCTGCTCTACTCCTGAGCATCCAATGTACAAGAGAGAGACATCAGACACAGCTCCTCAGAATAAATCATGGATGCTCCAGGGGAGCCATAGAATCTGACAGATATTCCTAGATCTTAAAGAAACTGTGCTGGGTGTGAAGGCTTCAGGGGAGCCCTAAGGGAAGGGCCTTGTGAGGGCCTAGCCTCCTGTGAGGGTAAATGGACTCTCTCTCCTCTGTGGTCATACATTAGCTTCTTGCTCAGATGGCAATGGAGGGTGATCTCACAGAACCTGGGCCAAGACAATGAGAACAACGAATGCCCTGGCTACATTCTCCCAGCCACGCTCTGTGTCTGCAGCTGTTAATGCAAGAGCACCTAGCTCAAAACGGTGAAAGGATCTCTCAGAGAAAACGGAGGGAAGTGGTGGACTTCGCTCTCCTCAATGAAACCCTTAAATTCTAAGATGGGGTTTTGTGAGGGGGGTGGTTTTTATCATGATTAATGCCTAAATACAAATCATGCTACACAATCAGAAAAATCTTTAAGTGAAGCAATTAAACATATATGAAATGTTTCATGTCTAATGTATGAAAGAGAAACATACCTAGAAAATTCCAGAACATTGAGGATTCCAAACGTCTGTTCTTGCCCCATCTACAAAACAAAACAAAAGGGGGGGCTCTTACCTGAAGTGGAAAAATATTATATCAATCCCCCCTCCTAAATAAAACCACACACACACGCATGCACGCACACACACAAAAATGCACGCACATATGCACGCATGCGCACACGCACACACACATGCACTCACGCGCGCACACAAAAATACACATAAATGTACACACACACACACATATGTTGGGACCAATTGGAGTCCTGGCCTTCAGCTGCTCTTCCCTGCTAGAGAATTCTAATTGAAGTTACTAAAAGCTGTGCTTTGCCTAGAGGATCAGAGGATGGGATTTTCACCTGTTGGCCATTGCCTGCTGTGTATTTAAGCCTCCATGGTGCTATTAAAGAAGGGCCTTTGTACCAGTGATTGGACGTCCGTGTGTCTGTCTATCTCTGTGTGTGTTTCCTCAACCTCCAGCCCATTGCCCGAAGCTCGCGAACTGGATTCTAGCACATAGAGTGCAGAAGGGTGTGTGTGTGGAGGGGGGGGGGGGGGAGGCAGGGCGCGCGCGCACACACACAAACACACACACACACACGCACACACACACACACACACACACACACACACACACACACACACGCTGCCCCTACCCTCCACTAGCCCTCTACACCAGCATTCACAGCCTGGACTGCGTTCTCACAGTCTGGCAGGGTCAGGGCGCCCTCTTCTGGCAGAAGTTCTCATTGTCTTTCTGAGACAGGCTCCTAAACTCTGTGCGATCACTACAAAGCTTTGAAAATGAAAGATACAAGCCGTGCAGCACCATCTGAAACCTTGGGGGCAGCTCTGCTTATGAATGATGTAGGAATCCACACGTGACTTAAGGTGGTTTCCAGCAGGTCTGAGCACTTCCACACTCACCACGACACCATCGCACTGAGTTAGCATCAGAAAAAGCAACCAGCAGGTTCAGGACAGCTCTTCCAAAGTACTGTCCTCAAACTTAATGGAAAACCTTGACATATAAGGATTTAAAGATTCTGAATTTCCACGTAAGGGACTCTGGGTCTGAACCTGTTTTTTAGGACAATTAATCAAACACTCTTTTCCCCTGTGTTCGTTGCAGTGGGAGCATCAATATATGTGTGAGCCATTTCCAAACACTTTAATTTGCTATTTTTGACACATCACAGTGGAAGCAATAGGGACCTGGGCATCCATACACACTAAATTCTGACAGACTTTCTGTGAATGGGATCAGTGCTCCTGACTGCCTTACCTGCCCACTACAACACTCTCCTCTGGCTACATCCTAAAATATAACCAGCAGCCGAGTTCACCTAGCCTTGTAGATCCTCTTACCTCTCTATACCCACCAGCTTACCCCTCAACCCACCCAAGATATCAGGATGTTGTTTAGACAGGCACCCAGCGCCCCTTTCCTGCTCACTGCCAGGAGCCACCCCCTCTCTGCGCCTTGATGCCATGATCAGCCCACGTAGAGCACATGTGCTGCTGAGATTATCAGCGAAGATACTTCATGTAAATACGAGGTGACGCAGGGAGACTCTGCGCTTCAGTGATCCCCAGAACTAGTGACTGAATGGCATTTTAATGGCTGTTGATGAGCCCTAATTAACCGGGGATATTACCTCTAAAAAACGTGGCCTTAAAACTTTGGTAAGATTCACAATGTAGCCCCTGCTGCTGAGCTATGGCTCATTGGGACATCTACTCCAGTCTCTTTTGAGGATGCTCACTCTGCTGTCTTTGTTAAACAACCTGCTTAAAATGGCTGTGCTTTTCAGCGGAATTGTTTTCTTCAGGAAGCTAAGAACTGTAATAGATGCAGGAGGAGAAAACACTCATCCAGGTAAGAGAAATCCTAAGCTTTAACATCTTTCTCTCATAGCCAGAGATGGATGCCCAGCGGTCTGAAGCCCTACTGGTCAACCGTGAGACTGAGGGGGCTACAGAGACGCAGGGCCAGCCTTAGAAATGGAGGCAGAAGTAAGGGAAGGCTGGAAAATTCCCTTACTACAAATAATTTCCTGGGAGTGAGAAAAAGATTCCAAGTAGCAGCCCCAAGCCCCAGGGTTATACTGCTGCCTCCCATGTAACCATGGCATTCCCACAAAGTAATCTTTCACTGAAAGACAAATACAAAGTCCGCCGTCTCATGTATGATCAACACACTATTTCATATGCACACCTTCCAAAGTACTGGGCCCCTTACCGCTTCGATGATGACGGAGTAAGGCGTCCTGCCTGTAAACACGAAGCCAAGCTTCTTAGCTCCTTTGACCAAAGCAGCTTCATCTGTCAACAATAAGCCAACCACACACAGGTTCATCCCTTGTCGTGACAGAATTCTGCTAAATGTCAAATCAAAACCCATCATGATCGGTGGGGCCTGGCGTTATCCGCACACAAGCAAGGACTTGAGACAGACACACTGACACACAGTGGGGCTTGAGATGTCTTTTGGACAGATTGCATACCAACAATAAAGTCTCCAGGACCGCAGGATTTTACACTCCTGCTGGGCTCTGCTGGATCAATTCAAAGGAAATTCCCTCTGCCGATCTCTCAGCAAGGCCATGTTCAATTGCAGTACTGTGTGGGTCAGACCACCAGGAAACGGGCCAAGGGCAATGGCTCTGATGCTCCATGGTGTGTGGTAGATGAGGCAGTCATGGAGCCAGCCTGGTTCTCTTTTGAGATCATTGTCTAACCCAAGATTGTATACCAGGATGTGCAAGACAGCCCAGGCTCTTCCTTGCCACCAGACCACCCTGAGAGTCAGGACATCCCGGTACCCGCTCTCCTTGGTTTTAACACCTCTAATCATGAACTGGAGGTGCCGTCGGGCCAAAGGGAAACAGCAGGTCTTGTGGGGCAAAGTGCATCAAAGTATCTTCCAAAAATAATAGAAAACACCCCCCAAAAACCAACAAGGCACTTCCGGCAACAGCCTCACCTGGGGAGGAAGCCTGGTAGATGATTTCATCCCCATCCTTCTCAGGGACTACGGTGTGGCAGACGGCCAGCAGGGTAAGGAACTCTTGGATACAAGGGGCTGTGGGCTAAAAGCAGAAGAACCAGTTAACCAGTCACCAGACTTGTAACTCACAGTGGATTCAAGCCATCCCAGCTTTAAAGGCCAGTGAGAAGTCACTGGCACAAACCTTTGACCCCCAGCACTTGGGAGCCAGAGGCAAGAGGATCTCTATGAGTCCAAGGCTAGCTTGGTCTACATGGTGAGCTCCAGGCTAGCCAGGGAAAGAGAATGAGACTGGTCTCAAAACAAGAAAAAGAAAAAAGAAACCCGGTAAGAGTTTGTCATTGGCTTATGCAGACTTTAGATGCTGAGCTAGCCAACTCTAGGACCAGACACTTGTGCTCCACGGAGCCCACCTCCTGCCACTCTGAACTTCAACCAAGCCACATCCTTCCTCCGTGTCCCTCAGGCCCACAGCCCTCTACCTGCCTTCGGCATGCTCTCCTGGACAATCATTTGAGTCACATCCTGCAAGCCTATTGTGCTGGGCCTCGGAGCAAAGTCACCCTGTGCCACCAGGAGACATTGTCCTATCTACCCACTAAGCTGGCTAGTATTCTGAATGTCTGATTTTCCTAGTATCCATAGCTAAAATCCCAGGTGTCCCTGTGTAATCAATCTTTTCCTACCATCCCTAAGAAAAACAAATCCTAAGGATTTTAACTGAAATCTCGGGCTACAATATTTCACATTTCCTAAAGACTTCTAAGTCTTATAAACTAGAACCCGGGGCTTACATATTATTATTTTATTTGTTCAAACATACTCAGGTAGCCAGTGTGATCAAGCACTATGTTCACCAAGGTTGGGGGCGGAGGGGGGACTAAACACATGCACTAAAAGCTACCAACACCTCCTGGCCCTAGGCTGCCTTCCAATGCTGCAATAACCACCAGGACCAAAAGCAACTTGGGGAGAAAAGGGTTATTTCAGTTTTCAACCCTCAGGTCACACCCCATCTGCCTTCATGCAATTATCTTTATTGGCAGGAATTTGGTCAATGTTTAGGGTTCAGGCAAAGGTATTCCATTTAAGACATTCCCAGATATCCAAGAACATAGAATTAGTACATGCCTAAAGCTGCTGATTCATAGCTGCTCAGATAGATAGCGAAAACAAGCATGCCCTGGTTTTACCTCACTTATAGATAAGAAAAAAACGAGGACCTAAAACTAACCTTGCATTACAAGATTCCGAACTCCTCACGATCGCCTTCACCTCAGTTTACTGATGAGTTTAGCTCAGGAGATTTACTGTTTGTGTCTTACTCTCAGGGATAGCAGGAAAAACAATTAACCATCTATCCACAGTGTGGAGGAAGACAAACCTCCAACTGCACATCTGATAGGCATGAAGCCCAGGATCTGACCATTTAGAGGCTTGGGTCTCCTCTTTGTTTCAACCACTTAGAGTCAATTGTGTAAACTTCATATCTAAAGGGCCCTTAGAGCCGGGCAGTGGTGGCGCACGCCTTTAATCCCAGCACTCGGGAGGCAGAGGCAGGTGGATCTCTGTGAGTTCGAGACCAGCCTGGTCTACAAGAGCTAGTTCCAGGACAGGCTCCAAAACGACAGAGAAACCCTGTCTCAAAAAAAAAAAAAAAAAAAAAAAAAAAAAACTAAAGGGCCCTTAGACCTTGCAACATTTGGCAAAAGTGCTAATGGACCAAAGGCCATAAACTTCCCTTGTCTGTGTACATGAGTTGCCTGGTTATTCTGTATGCCTGAAGGATTCTGTGGGTCTTTATAGCTGGGTTATAGCAAAGAGAGTTAAGAGGAGCTGGAGCAGAAGCATCCCAGAAATTAGCAGAGATAGGAAAATGGGGGGGGGGTGGAGGAGAAAGTAGCAGAGAATTGGAGTTGGAATTAGAATTGAGACAGAGAATTAGAGCTAAGAAATGTTAGACAGGACAGAAGAATTGGAATAGAGAACAGGAAAGAAATGGATAGAAAGAACGTGTCATGACTAGATTTCTTCCTTTTGCTTATTGTTGTGTCTTTTTTTGAATCCTGAGAGAAAGCTTTAGAGGCTGGTCCTTTAAAGTTTTTGATAATGTTTTACTCCCACTGGTTAATAAAGAAGCTGATTTGGTCTGTAACAAGGCAGGATAAGGCCAGGCGGGAAAGCCAAACTGAAAATACAGGGAGACCGAAGGGCAGAGTCTGAGACAGACACCAGCAAGCTGCTGGATCAGCAATGTGTGCTGGAGAACAGACAAAAGCCATGGCCACGTGGCATTGCATAGATTAATAGAAATGGGTTAATTTAAATGTAAGTTAGTAATAAGCCTCAACTATAGGTCAAACAGTTTTTAATTAATGTAAGTTTCTGTGTGATTATTGGGGACCTTGTAGTCAGGAAATGAAAGCTCTGCTCCGTTTATAGTTGCAACTGAACAAAATGCTGGGAAGTAATGGTAGTGAACGTCCTGCCTCAAATGGGTCATCATTCAGTGGGAGATGCTGTCTTCTGGACAGGACAATGATGTTTCACTCATGAACTCACTGCAGCTGTGATTCTCTGCTAAGACTTGTAGAAGATCAGGCCAGCATATGTTACATAAAACAGTGAACCGCAAGCCACTCTCTGTCCTAGAGGGAAGTGGCACACTCACATGTTGGTCCTCGATGTTCTTTAACAGCCTGGGATCATTAAAGTCGCATGAGTCACTGGGGCATGGACCCATCCGGCTGGAAAAAAGAACAAAATTCATTCATTCAATTTCAAAGTCATGTCAGCTCACACATAGAGAGAATCCACCCTCAGAAAGAACCATAAAAAAAAGTTCATAGTCTTACACTCACCATTCAAGGGTCAGGAATAGTGAATATTATATCAAGCTTTAAAACATCTCAGGTCCCTAAACTTTACTATAAAGAAACTGTGTTACAAGTTTTTATAGAAACCAACAGATTTACAAGGGAAAGGATCCTAAGCTATGTGCCAACACTATGGCCTTCATCTGGGGGCGTTGGGGAAACAGAGGAAGACTGTGCCATGCTTCATCATTCATAGCCAGAGTGCACATGGAGAAGAGAAGGCAGCGAGCAAGGAGAAGAGAAGACACTGGATATGATTGCTGTGGACCATCAGCCTGGAGCAAGCGAGAGCCTCACACACACCTTCATCTCCACCAGCTCCTGCAAGCCACTCTCCAAAACCACAACAGTGAAAGACCAAAGGGCAACTGATGCCAGTCTTAAGTGTGAATGGATATCAGAGATTAATGTAGCAGATGAAACAACTATTAGCTCATGGGGAGGGGACATATGAAATGCCAGCTGACACTACCACAGGACACTAGAGAAAGCCGAAGAAGGGCGCCATGTGAAGAGTGCAAAACACCTGTGATGCATGGCAGGTAGCTGAGGGATGTGAGGGCATCAGGGCCCTGTGATGGCTATCAGGTACCTGGGAGGGGCACGAGGTACCTGTGATGGACATCTGGTACCTGTGATTGATATCAGGGACCTGGGAGGGGCACGAGGTACCTGTGATGGTTATCTGGTACCTGTGATGGACATCTGGTACCTGTGATGGACATCTGGTACCTGTGATAGATATCAGGTGCCTGTGAGGGGTATGGGTACCTGTGATGAATATCAGATACCTGTGAGGGTTATGGGTACCTGTGATGAATATCAGGTGCCTGTGAGGGGTATGGGTACTTGTGAGGGGTATCGGTACCTGTGCGGAGCATGACGTACCTTTGAAGTATGTCAGATACCTGTGAGAGGTATGAGGTATGTATGAAGTGAGGAACTTAAGATACTTGAAAGGAACACGAGGAACACGAAGCTGCTGAACCAAGAAAGGCCATAAGGGAATGTAGAATATCGAGTAAAAGAAGTCAAGTTAAGCTGGCAGCATGCTGTAGGATCCCAGCACTGCCTTTCTGGAGAAGACAAAACCACAGAGATAGGAGAAATCCCAGTGGCTACTGAGGGTGGGCTGTTTATGACAGGGGGGTGGACAGGCAGAGCAAGGACTTTAGAGGCAATGGAAACACCCCTCACGATGCTGCGATGACAGACGTATATTAGTAAACAGATGTCCATATTCACAGGATACAGAGCACTGAATGACCCTGCTATCAGAAGTAGACAGGGCAATCATGAGTTGTATTGGTCCCTGAATTGTGTGCACTGTGTTGGGGAACTTCCATCTTGGAGGTCATGGAGAAAACCCTGTGCTTTTGGGATTTTACCGGGAAATCAAAACTCCTCTTTTAACTGGTCTCAAATGGTTGAAATGGTTGGTTTTCCATTTACTATGCTTGCCACAATGAAAATGCTTTCCGCACAGACGACTCAGTGGTTAAGAGCATTGACTGCTCTTCCAGAGGACCCAGGTTCAATTTCCAGTACCCACATGGTGGCTCACAAATGTCTGTAAGTACAATCCCAGGTGATGGAGCACCCTCTTCTGGCCTCCGAGGGCACTGCAGGCTCACGGTGCACAGACACACATGCAGGCAAAACACCCATTCACACAAAAGAAAACTAAAGATTAAAAAATTTTTAAGATGCCGGGCGGTGGTGGTGCACGCCTTTAATCCCAGCACTCGGGAGGCAGAGGCAGGTGGAACTCTGTGAGTTCGAGGCCAGCCTGGTCTACAAGAGCTAGTTCCAGGACAGGAACCAAAAGCTACGGAGAAACCCTGTCTCTAAAAATCAAAAAAAAAAAAAATTTAATATAAGCCCACAGCCAGTGGTCACCAAGTTTGTGAAGAAAATCTAGAGGCAGATGTTGGGCACAGGAGACAGAGCAGAGGAAAGGGGCAAGTAAGAGCAAGAATTGGAGTGCCTTCCTTAAAATTGGAATAGGCATCCATAAAAATTATTAAGGAGGATGAAAGGTTAAAAATGAATGATGAAAAATACATGGCAAGAAGGCAAGACAGATAACAAAATCAGAGGATCAACTCAGAGACAGGAGGGGAGACAGATATTACGGAAATAACACAAGGACATTTCCCAAATATTAATAAGAGGAATTTACAGACAGAAGTGGCCCAACAGAAAGTGAATTAACCACCCAACACAATAAAGAAAGCACAGCCTACCCAAGGGTTGTAGTTTAAGTTTGTATGCTAAAGAAATACAGAAAATGATAAGCACTTCCAAGGGCTGGGAAAGATGGGGGGAGGTTGGTAAAATGGTTTTGGGGGATGGGCTCTGGGAAGACGACCTGGGGGGATGGAACGGCCACAAAAGGGCAGGGGGCTGAATCTTCCCCAGAGATACAAAGTCCTACAATGTCTATAATTCTTAATTAGTATAAAAGTATTATTTTGAACCACAGGAATCTGAAGAAAATAAGTACAAAGTTGCAGATGGCTGGAAACGAAAGGACTGGACAAGAGGCATATTGTTGATAGCAAAGGCTTAGTGGCGTGGATTTAACCCATGTCTCCATTTAAATCTTATCCTGGCTCTTTTTCAAACTAGCATACTCACAACTTACACTTAGACCTAAAACTGTCCTGATGCATCCCAGCTAAGGAAGTAAGACGTCCTGGACTCTACTTACCAGAAGTCATCTGAGGACGGCTCTCTGGCTAGTTCTGGAAAGTGGCTGGCAGGAGAGAACAGAGCGGTCAGCAGTAAGTCAGTTCTTACATACACATACAAACCCACAGGTGCCCGCTACCTCTCAGGAAAGGTGAAGAAACACGTTCCCAGGGACTTCAATAAGTTTCACACCTATTTAATAGCAGCTACACACCCAAACCACTCACAACACTTGACAAGACAGAAACTCCTGTGCCTTGCTGGGGGACTTGAAATGCGATTTCCTGGAACTGATAAGCGCGCTCACCCATAGGTCACGCCGGCAATGCTACACTTCTTGAAGTTCATGATATTGCACGTTAGCGTTCCAGTCTTGTCGGAAAACAGGTATTTGACCTAAGCAGAAGACGAATGAAATGAATAAGGGGCGATAGGGGTGGCTCAAGGTTAAGAGATAGCTGTTCTTCTAGAGCACCCAGCACCCACAGGGGAGGTCACAACCATCTGCAACTCCAGTCCCAGGGGACGCAATGAATTCTGAATTCTGAGAGCACCAGGTATTACGTGGGGACACAGATACACACATGGTCAAAACACTCCATATTTTATATTTTTTCTTTTTTTATTTATTAAAAATTTCCACCTCCTCCCATTTCCCTCTCACTCCCCCCACTTCCCCTCCCCCTCCCTCTCGCCTCCTAAGAGCAGTCAGGATTTCAAAAGAATGTCATAAGATGCAAGGATCAAGAAATAAGTTGTCTCGTATGTCTGTAAATCAGAATGACGTTTAAATGAGAGTCCACAAAAGTAAACACATAAATCATGCACCTTAAATCACAGACCATTTGCAAAAGCTTTTCTGTTACTAATCCTAAAAGCTGGGAAATAAAGAATAAAAGCTTCCATAACTGCCCTGGCCACTGTCTATCACAGTGGTTCTCCAGCTTCCTAATGCTGCAACCTTTTAATACAGTTCCTCGTGTTGTGCTGACCCCCCAAACATAGAATTATTTTGTTGCTACTTCATAACTGCAATTTTGTGACTGCTAAGAATTGTAATATAAATACTGATATGCAGATATCCTGATATGCGACCCTGGGAAAGGGTCACGGTCTGCCCCCCGCAGAGGTGTCACAGCAAAGGTTGAGAGTTTCGAGTCCATAAGTGTCACCACAGGTCTGTCACTCGGCATTCAGGTCTCACAAAAGATGCAATTCTTTTTAAGAGTCCATCCCCTGACTAGATTAACAATGGTCACCATGGCAAGATACCCTTAAAGGTGCAATAAAGGCGCTCAGATTTTGGCAGTAGCCAACAGCTGTCTAATTGAATCTAAGGCATCAACAGGATGGAACCTAACCAACTACCTGGGGCTAGTAGGGTCACAGATTTTAGAAGAACGCCCACCACCCCAGACCAGCATATCTCCTAGCTGTTTGTTTGTTTGTTTGTTTGTCTGTCTGTCTGTTTTTTACGGTATAGCCATGGCTGGCCTGGAACCTGCTTTTTTACCCTTGAACTAACATGTCTTCCTGTTTCTGCCTCCCAAGTGCTGGAAATAAAGGCATTGTGCTACCATGCCTGGCCCGACAAGCATAACTCCTAACTAAATTCTAAATGCCTATACTCAGAGTTAAGTGTAGCTCTCACCCCTCATCAAAGAACCTGCTCTCTGCAGCAGACAGAGATCACCACAGAAAACCACACCTGGTCAAAATACAGAGATCAACAGGGGAGCCCAACCCCAAGGGATATTTCTACAACACACTCCTATTCCTAAGGCTCAGGGATCATTGAGGAAAAGGAGATGAGAAGACTGGAAGAGCCAGAGGAACAGGAAGTCTGCTGTGAGACAGTGTCTCCTGGAAATGACAGGGAAGCTAAACCCAAGGTACCTCGACAACAAGGCTGTTAGCAGACCTCAACAATGACAATCCAACAGAGAGCTAACACGGAAAGAGAAAAACCTCACCTGACTGCACTCCTAGACAAAGAACTAGAGGTAACTAGTGGCTGCTGTCTTGGGGTTTCTATTTCCATAGTAAAACACCGTGACCAAAAGCGTCTGGGGAGGGAGAGTTTACTTCACCTTCCAACTCTTAGGCTACACTCCGTCACTGAAGGAAGTCAGAGCAGGAAGTCAGGACAGCAAGCTGGAGACAGGTGCTGATGCAGAGGCCACGGAGGGATGCTGCTTACTAGCTTGCTCTCCATGGCTTGCTCAGGACCGCCAGCCCAAGGGTAGCATGCCCCACAGTGAACTGGGCTGTCCCACACTAATCATCAATCAAGAACATGCACCAACACCTTGCCAATCTGATGGTATCATTTTTCTCAGTTTGCATTCCCTCTTCCAAAATAACTTTAGCTGGTGTCAAGCTGACCTAAAAACTAGCCAGCACACCTTCTGAGAGAAAACTAGTTTTTCCCAGGGATGAGCCTCTTAATCGGTTGTCTAATACCAAGTGGTCATCCCTAATCATATATGCACAGTAGCACTAAGTGGACTCAGTAGGTTGTATTTGCATGCTTATGCAGTTATATAAATATATATGTAACAATAATAGTCAAAGAAAGAGTCCATCAATTTGAGAAGGAATTGACTTGATAAAAGTACGGAAAGAATTTGTGTAGGGAGGGATTGGAGGAAGGAAAGGGAAGGGCAAAGTGATACAATTACATTTTAATTAAAATAGTTTTTTAAGATTACATAATTATAAAATCATGACAAGCAGCTTTCCATGCCCTTTACATGGAAACTTATCTAAAAATAATAATTATATATATATATATGATATATACATGATATTTCAAAACATGTATACATGCTGATCATATTGATCAATGGGATAATTAATATTTGTTGTTTTCAATTAACAAGAAATTTTATGTTTCACACAGAGCAAAATCTAGAAACATTAAAAACACAATAGAATTAGTTCCTTCTGTCTTTTTTTAAAGAAGAATTGGAAGATTATCAACAGAGTAAAAAGGAAAATCTTATAATAAATTACAGAATTTGTGATCCCTCTCGCTCTTGACTTTTCACCTCTCCTCCTTAGGTAACCCCCACCCATGCCTGGTCAGGACAGGGCATTTCATCCTGGGCACTTTCTTAAACATCTTCAGTCCATCTTGCTGGGTCAGTTCAATGGCATATTGTGGGAGCCCACAGAAGCGGATCCATTCCACTTTGACCAAAGATCAGAGAGTTCAGACCTATTCCTGCTCCTTCAAGGATAAGACAGGAGGTTTGACCTAGGGAATGGCTGCCTACAGCAAGCTTGGCCTAAGGTGTGACTGCTGAATATTCCGCCTAAAAAACAGAATTCTTAACTCAGGGTATAGGTGCATGGTGCTTCAGGTATTGGAGAGGCAATTGTTCTGTTTGCTTTCTGTGTCATGTAAAAGCAGTCTTGTCTTCTCCCCTTCCCCCACGCTTTTTTGGATTGTGGTATATAATCATATGGAAAATAAACACAGGTGAATTCAGTATTCACTGGACTGACCTCCCAGTTCTGTTCTGTGTCTCTGTCTAATTTTTTTTGTATCTCTGTTCTGTGTGCCTGGCATTTCTAATCCACATGCCCTCCCCTGGAATGTGCAAATTCCATCGAGGCTGGACCACAGCACACGAGAACAACCATATACTTAGCCCTGGGAACTGACAAAGCTCACTGAAGGCTACAAATGTAGTTGTCCCTAAATATCCCCAGGGGCAGTTCTAAGAACCCCAATGGGTACCAAAATTATCATATGCTCTAGTCCAGTATATAAAATGGTGTAGTGTTTGTATAAAACTTACATACAACCTCTGGTGTGTTTCGCATAATCTTAGATGGCGTATGACAAGACATTAGAAGTGTCATACTGTAGTAGCTGGGGAACAGTGACAAGAAACTTCTGTGTATATTTGGTACAGGCGTAACCATCATAGGCACCATCACACTTTTGACCTGCAGTTGGCTGACTACACAGGGCTCACACCTGCTCCAGATGGACTCAGATACCATTTAACTAATCACATTGTCATTTCTTTAACTAATCACATTGTCATTTCACTGTGTGTGTGTGTGTGTGTGTGTGTGTGTGTGTGTGTGTTTGGAAAGAATGCTTAAGAGAAAAGAGCAGACAGACACTAATGTTGCCTGGAAATACTGGGAAGGATTCAAAAGCGGCAACTCGTGGATTGTTATAGGAGTAGAATTTTACCAATGACAATGTCATTGAAGGAAGAAACAATTCAGGTAGATGATAGATAGACAGACAGACAGACAGACAAATGATAACACATGATACAGAGATAGATAGATAGATAGATAGATAGATAGATAGATAGATAGATAGATAGATAGATAGATGATAGAGATGGATGGATGGATAGATAGATAATAGATAGATAGATAGATAGATAGATAGATAGATAGATAGATAGATAGATAGATGGATGGATAGATGGATGGTATGGGTGGATAGGTAGATATTTAGACAGAAATACAGATGAAAGATGATAGACAGGTAGCCCTGGATTCTGCTTCTCATCATGTATACCTGAAGTACTGGTGCTCGGGTGAAAACAGGGATGCGGCCTCACTGAGGAAGCTTTCTGCTTTATGACAGTATTCTCTCTAAATGACAATCTCTTTCCTCCACCAAATAAACAAGTAATGCCTTTAATCCCAGCACTCGGGAGGCAGAGGCAGCAGATCTCTCTGAGTTAGAGGCCAGCCTGGTCTACAAGAGCTAGTTCCAGGACAGGCTCCAAAGCTACAGAGAAACTCTGTCTCGAAAAAAACCAGAAGACAGGAAGGAAGGAAGGAAGGAAGGAAGGAAGGAAGGAAGGAAGGAAGGAAGGGAAAATGTGACTGCAGAATTACGTTTTGTTGCAAAACCAGAATGACAGATTTGAGCTTCAGCTTTCTAGCAATGAACTCAAAAACGCTCCAGCACAAATCCAGAACTGACTTTGTCCTTAATCAGGGAGAAGAGGAAGAGGGCACCTGGCCCAACTCTGGCCCAGAAAATGACAAGTCAGGTTTACATCTTCCCAGAGGGCCATGAGGCGGGTGTCCTGGGAACCAGCTTTCCTGAGGTAAGTTAATTATTTTCTTATCTAGAAAATGAAGATGCAGCATGCTACCCTCCCATAGGATTGTTGGGAAGCTTAAGGTGCATAAAATAAAAAAAATCATAGTTTTTAATTACTTTAGGTCAAGAGTAAGTATTATGTATTCAAAAAGGCTATAGGCTGCAGTGATCCAATGGAAGAGGCAGACATAATGCAACATGAAAGGAGAGACAAGCAGAAATCAAGACAAAGATACAAAAGTCGCTGACTCTCTGAACTATGTCAGGATCCCTGTCCTTCTAATGGCCCCATATGCATTGTGGAGCGGTCTAGCAGCCATTGCCCTCCCCGTTTCCCTTGTCATCTGTTCTAAGAAACACATTTAAAAGGGTCCAACCTAACATTATATTGCTGTACAACGTTCTGTACTTTTTCCCCAGATATGTTCTTGGCAAAACGATCTACATGTGCCTCCAAAACCAAGTGACAGCTGCATTCACCGCCACCTGCAGACCAGATGTCACAAACACAGTCATGCAGGATATCTCCCCAGGGCTCCTCCGCAAACACTGGCTTCCTGCTCATAGCACTGTCCCCAAAGTCCCCAAAGTCCCCAAAGAGGCTCTCACCTGCCCAAGCTCTTCATTAAGGTTCGATGTCCTGGCCATAGCAGGAGTGTCGTTTTCAATATAATACATATCTGTGTCCTGAAAGAGAACATGGGGGAAGGAAGGAAGGAGGTAGGAAGCCTTCAGAAAACATGTAATTCTAATATTTCATTAAGATTACCACAGACCCTGGCAACTTCAAATCTTTTCATTTTTCATTCAAATGCTAACTTGTAACTCGGGTTGAAAAATGAAGTTGCAATTAGGCTAGCAAGCCCCGTGACACAACATGACCACGGTATTTAGGTTTGGGTTCAAGACGATCGGCTTGTGCTCTAGCTGTGCGTTTGGTCAATGCTCACTCAGAGGCTTGGGAAAATCAAAGCAATACACACATGAAAGTGCCTGGTTTGGAAAGAAAAAACGTTGAAAAGACCCAGTGCTTAATGGCCATGGCCATGGCAGTCCCTTAAGAACCCCACCTTAACCCCTAAAATCCATCCAGGATGACTGTCATACTGAAATCCATGCAGGATGGACACTCTGGTGAGCACACTTGAGAGGCCTTTTCATGCATAAAGGAGACTTGGGAAGCACAGCCATGGTGCCCAGATGACAAGCACGCACTGAGCATCCTCCCCCATTCTCCCCACCCCTGGGGTTATGGCATGGCTTGCCAGTCATCAGTTTGGCTGGCTTAATCCATGACCTAATAATAAAGAGCCCCTGTTACTTCTTTTCTGGGATGCAATGAAATGACAAAGGCTGCTCAGGGAGTACACTAGAAAGCGGAGGCTGGCAGGCGCCCAGTAGCTCATGTTCCATGCACCGCTTTGAAACTCACCCAGTTTATGAAGAGAGCTTGCGTGTACTTCACAACCTCCAGCGTCACCAGCAGGCTGATGGGAATCAGATTGTTGTACAGGATGATAAATGTCAGCAAGTTGTATCCAAAATTATCTGAGCTCGTGTCTATGGATAAAAGCCAAGACATCCACACAGCTTTAGTAGAAGTCTACATCTCGTTTCTTTCCATTTTATTTTAGACTTCCCCCAACTCTAAAAAATGCTCACATCAAAAAAAAAAAAAACCTGTGTACCCATCTTGAAACTGAGGGGTTACTGTGCCAGTTCAAACTCCTAAGACTATTTGAATTCAGTCCCTGTAGGCAGTGCTAGCTTCTCTTTAGAGGTTGGGGAAGGAGGCAGAGGAGGAAGCAGAGGGGAATGCACTTCTTTGGCCTCAAAGGAGGATGTGGCTATTACAAAGGGGGTTAGTCAATAGGGCAGGAACAACAGGATGCTCCAGAGGAGACAAGCTGAAGACTGAAGCTGGGAATCAGGAATTTGTGAGGGCTCCAAGCCACAGATGAGTATCTCAGCAGGAGGGCTTGACACAGGGTAGCAGATGATGAGCCCTGGAATTCCGGAGGGTGATGGGAAGGGAAGCAAGCCCTGGCTGGCCAGTTGACCTCCCCAACCTTTCATTTCTGTCCACTCTGGCCTTCCACTCTCCAGCTGGTAGCCCTCTTGGCTGGCATACTGCTTTACTACCTGCTTCTCTCAGGCAGTCAAGGAGCCGGTGAACAGGACTCCTAAGTGCCAGTGACTCAAGTGGCCCCAGAGTACAGCATTTGTGTAGGGATAAGATTTGTCTGCCAATAAAATTTATTAATGAATTAAAACTTGATGGCTTAATACTAGTCAAAAATGCTTTATAACGCTACGTATGACCACATATGATGTCAAAGAGCCGTGACTATGCAGAGGAACCTCCTACACGGAAAGCCTCAGAACCCAAGAGTATTCAATCAAAAACCAAAGATGTCCATAAAAGGAGAATATCTACCCTTATGTAAAATGTTCAGCCAAACAAGAACAATGAAAAGGAAGTTAAGACGGGACCAGATTTGGTAGGAAGTAAAATCCAAGCACCAACAGAGGCAGCAGAACGTGAAACTGACTTCTCTGAGTAGGTGCATGTATGGACCATGTCTCCCTGAACACCACCACACTCTTGACACTGGAGCCTGGAGTGATCAGAACAATTCAAGCGCCTGTTTCCCCAAAGCTGTGTTCATACCACATGTTTACTTAGACAACTACATTAATATGAACCAGTCTTGTGTCTGAAACAAGCCACATAACAAAAACCAACACCAAGTGATCTGATCAACTATGACTCAAACCTTAGTCACGTGCCCATGTTCGTAAAGGAGCAACAGGCACGGGGGCTCCAGTCTGTAATCCCAGCATTTGCAAAGTGGAGGCAGGAAGACTAGGAATCAAAGGCTAACCTCAGCTACAGACTGAGTCCGAGGCCAGCCTATACCACATGAGATGCTGTTTAAAAACAAACAAGCAACATAAGATTTTCTGCCTTTCAAAACCTGAGAGTCTTATGCTTAAAGAAACTGGAGAAGTAAAAAATCATGTCTAAATCTATTTAAAAATAATCGAGAAATCAATCACAATAATGCCAAGGCGATACCTTAAAGTTTTAAGATTTATCATAAAATCTTTTATCCCTAAATTATATTATTTTTCTTGATTTGCTGAGATCACAGAATGGCAGATCTTCCTTCTATTTCCTAGCCAAGCAGCAAAATGAGACAGAATCATCAAAATCAAGTTAAGTCTCAAAAAAAAATGGATCAAGTGCACATATTAAGAAAATCTGCCAACTCTTGTAAGAACAGTTGTGCCTTGGGCTATTATGTCACTCACGGGCCTTTGTGCTGGTTCTGCTCTAGGGGGTGGCAGTGGCTACTGGTTTGACTACCATCACCTATGTGCCCTTACCCCAGCTGCAGACATTCTACCCTAGCGTAGGACAGGAACACCTTGGGAACTCACATCATAGGAATGGAGTTTGGAAAACACTATATGCAATGCCCACTAAAAAACAATAGATATCAGTGGCTAGTGGTCAAGGAAGGCAGGTGTTCCTATATAATAGCAGGGAGAAAAACAGAAAACTGGGGGTAGCCAGGGAAGAACGCTACTAAGTTCACCCTGGTCAGCACAGAAGACCGTGACTATGGACAATCTAGATGCCGGCACAGAAAGCAAGGAGACAGGGAGATGGACGAAGCAAGGAGGTGATACTAGCTAGTAACTCATCCACAGGAAGACATGGGGACTACCAGGAATGGTAAACAAGTAGGTTGAAAGAAACAATTTCATAAGCATGTATTTTTTTTTTAGCTCTTTAAGATATCCAAGATTATACAAAGCACTGGTGATAATGCTCTGTTGTTAGGTTGATAATACATACACACAGCATATATATGGAAATAATAGGACGAGCAGGGGAGAGCTGGTCTGGTGTTGGTGAATTAAGCTAGTAGTAATGCAAAGGATGCTCATGTTGTCATCCCTAGAGCAACCATGAGAGAGTGTCTTTAAAAGTAGCTGAGAAGTCGGGCGGTGGTTGGTGGCACTTGCCTCTAATCCCAGCACTCAGGGAGGCAAAGGGAGGCGAATCTTTGTGAGTTTGAGGCCAGCCTGGGCTACAGAGTGAGTTTCATGACAGCCAGAGATACACAGAGAAATCCTGTCTCAAAATCATGTTGTCATCCCTAGAGCAACCATGAGAGAGTGTCTTTAAAAGTAGCTGAGAAGTCGGGTGGTGGTTGGTGGCACTTGCCTCTAATCCCAGCACTCAGGGAGGCAAAGGGAGGCGAATCTCTGTGAGTTTGAGGCCAGCCTGGCCTACAGAGTAAGTTTCACGACAGCCAGAAATACACAGAGAAATCCTGTCTCAAAAAAAAAAAAAAAAAAAAAAGCTGAGAAACTATTATTAGAGCCTAAGCAGTCCCCAGATACACCCATATTCATTTCTGTTCCTTGTGATTCCTAATCTGTTCTCTCTTCAAGAAGATCTGGCATAGGCAGGGTAGCCATGGGAACAGAGAGGGCATGGCTATCACCCACAGACCCTACGTGGGAGGACCTTCCCAGAGGCTTGTCCCACAGAAGGCAGCAGCAGCCACCCCAGCACTCACCCATCTTCTTGATGTACCAGCTCTTTCCACCATGGGACCCATTCCAGAACAGGGCCCCCACCGAGCTCACCAGGGCCATGACCAGGAGGATGCCAAACAGCACCAAGATCTGCACGTTGGTTACCTTCTCGACGTTCGACCTCTTGAGAGGAGCTTTTGTTGAATTCTGTAAACCGGTATTGAAAATCAGTAACCATCACAGAACAGGCTTGGGTAAAGGTAAGGAGACACTGAATAAGACAACCACATACAAGGATGGAAATGAAAAATACTATTTCTCTTCCAAATTAAGGATGGAATTAAAAGATGCATCATACTCTTGAGTAAGCATCCCAGAGTTTAAAGAACTCACCTGTGGCACTTTGAATAAGAATTACTCATATATTTGAATGCTTAGTCATCAAAAGTGACAATATTTGCAAGAATTAGAAGGATTAAGAGGGGTGGCCTTGTTGGAGGAAGTGTGTCACCAGGGATGGATTTTGAGATTTCAAAAGCCCACGCCAAGACCAGAGTCTCTCTCTGTACTTACTGATCAGGATGTAGTTTTCAGCTACTGCTCCAGCATCAGACTGTATGCCACCATGCTGATAATAAACTAAGCCTCAGAAACTGTAAGTAAGCATCCAATTAAATGCTGTCACTTACAATAGTTGCCTTGGTCAAGCACCACAGGCAGGCTCCTGGGACAGCACACCCAACTCTGACCTCATGCTGAGAGCCAGGAGCTCTTCTGTTACAAGACTGATTATTCAAAGTTTTTAAAGATTGTGTTTAACTGAGTCATTAAATTTTCAGGAAGGAAAAAGAAAATGACAAAATCTGTCACTTCCGTGAGCCTGTCAGTTAGCTGAAGTCACTGAAAATCAGCCTGTCACCAGAGTTAGGAAAACCGACTTTTCCTTCAACATAAGGAAACAACCTAACACTCCGGGCTTTGACACGCACCCAGCATGGAAAGCCAAGTCTGGCACACTCACCCCCTTTTCCAAATATGTCTGCTTGCAACCACGAGTTTTTAATGCCCAATTCCTATTAGAATAATAAGTTCCTTTACAAAACTCTTAGAGGACACTATCACTTTGATGTCTGGTACCACAATAAAAAATGGGTCAAACTCGAAGATTTTGCACAACACTGGAACCTGACGTGAATTGTATACCTCTTATCCCTCCTGAGAAAGAGAACATCAGAATGTTTGTCGGAATAAGCCTGGAGTGTGTCAACCTGGATTTCAGTCTGGTTTTTGCTCCTTCTAGATTTGTAAGCTAAGCTGGGGTTAGTTCAACACTGTGCTTTAGTTGCTCTGTCTTTAAAATAACAGGGCTGGGTCAGCGGTTAAGAGCGCTGGCTATTCCTGCAGAAGACCTGAGTTTAAGTCCCAGTACCCACAGAGTGGCCCACAACCACCTCTAATTCCAGTTCCAGGGGATCTGACACCCTCTTCTCTCTTCTGGCCTCTGCAAACACTGGCCACACATGGCACACAGAAATTTATGCAAGCAAAATGCCTATACAAATTAAATAAAAATAAATATTTTAATAATGGATGTACCTTCCTCACACCAAAGAATACATAAACTCATTTATATGTGAGTCGCAAAACAATGTATGCTTTGTTATAATCAGTGTTTCCTGTAATTATTGATTACCTCTTTCCCCGTAAGCCGACCAACAGAAAAGATCTGAGTGTTCGCCGTGTATAACCACACTAAGCATGAACTGAGGGAGCTCTGGAAGGTGAGGGAGACACAGTGGAAACTCAAGAACCCTAGGGGCACCCAGCTTCCCCACCGCCGTCCAAAACTCAAATGTAGAACAGTGTTATTTCATGAACAGAACGGCTTTCAGCTGTGTGTGTTATTTTATATTCCTTTCAAAATTTCATTGTTCCTGCTGTTTCAGCCCTAAAGGGACAGCAAGCCTAGCACAGATGTTTCTGGGGTCTTCTATCGCTCTCCGTATGTCAACAACAGTAAGTCTTGCCAAGCTTTGTAACACAGAGGGCAGGGAAGTGCCCTGTGACGGTCACGGGATGTGAACGGCATAGACTCATCTCGTCCCCTGAAGACATAATGGTGATGTTCTGATATAAATTATAGTCAGCCTGATCTCCAAAGCTGTAATATTAATATGTGATCTAGAAGAATAACATTATATCCTGAAAAATCATCCAGGGTACAAGGGAACTTGGAGAAAGCTTGGACTTTTAATAATCCTGATCTAAACCCTAGCCTTGGGACTCTACCCAAATCTGAGCTACTCTCCCATGGTCTCCTCACCACTTCATTACAAAAAGACAGAAGCTGGGGTGAGCGCAGCTGCAAGGGTTGGCTGTGCCTACCAGTAAATGGGCTGCGGATGTTCACAGCTGCTTCAGAGGTGGTAGAGTGTGAAAATACCTGTCAGGATGGTCTTTGTGTGCAGACTGCTCAGAGACAATGAACTTGAAGTGTTTCAGTCCTGAGTGAATGAGGGCTGAGGAGGAGAGTAGACCAGACGCATCTCGGGCATACCGAACAATTTCCAGTCACTCAAGGGCTGCGTGGTGGCCACCAACCAGCTGTTTTTCTACTTGTTATGAGTGCCCCTCCAACACACACTTTCTATGAGTACTCTTCTGAGCCTGGAGGCCTCCCTGGTACGCCCTAAATGCTGTGTGTCTTCCCCATGCTTCTGGATCTCTCCTTCTGTCCCGTCCCTTCTCTTACCCAGCTAAGGACATGTGATATCCCAAATCAGACACCTCTCCCAAAAGGTGATGTTTCTGTAAGACTCACATCCATTGCTCCTGGAGGTAGTGCTCCTGGATTGTAGTATTTCTTGAACCACTGTTCCTCTAAGTCCCTGCCAACTGGACATATACCTCATTCCCTTCCCCCAGCGGGTAACCTTCCCCAGCCTCGCCAGTACTGCAAACTCGAGAAGCTGGCTCGCAGAACTCTTCTCTGCTCCAGCCCCCATTTTCAGCCTACATCACAATCCCAGCCCATCGTCTCCCTTAAGCTCTGAGTCCCTTTCTACTCAGTATCGGGGACCTGACCCAGATGGACCATGAGCTCCCACTGCTGTGGACCAGCCATACATCTCCCAATCTACGACTCCTCAACTTGAGAAACTCACAGGTGAGTACTGCACCCTCACATCCACCTGTCCCTCAACTCCAAGGGTCAGCTTCAGCTTCAGGAACTCTCGGAGCCCTGGAATCCAAATTCTGTCCATGCCTTCACTGCATTCACCAGCACTCTAGGCCTGGAATTGGTGACTCTCTTGCATATACATCCACAGAACTATATACAATGGCACAGTTTACAATAAGTGCATCCCTACTTTCTACATTGTCCATGTTACTCCTTTACTACTCAGCCCCCAGGGGTGAAGACTTAGCCTTTATGCTAATGTGCCCAGATTTCTTAGCACAAGACTCAGAGGGGAGTGACTGTAAACATTTTTCAGCCAAGACACAAACCAAATATGACTCTGGAAGTTACACAAAACAGCAAATGACCTGAATATCTTTAATAGTCATAATTAAGGAAATACAATGCTGGTATGCGGTAATTTCCTCTATGTAAAACCTTTCATCTAGAAGGAAAGTTTGTTCATTAAGATGCAGGATTTTCTAAGGGGAAGTGATACATTCCATGCTTCAGGGAAGCAAGCTTCGGAGGTAAACAACCCAAAGGCTTCAGGAAGTCCCTGAAGCTGATCAGATTCACTAGGCTCTTCCCTTCCCAAGAATCTACAAATAATAAGGACTGTGCTGAAAGATATTTTGAGCCCACTGAGCTGCTCAGAAGAGGCTCAGACCAGCTGAGCTGCCTGGAAGAAACAGACAAGGCACAGGCCAACTAAGGGGCCTGGAAAGGACTCCTTGGTCCACTAAACTGACTACAGACTGTGCGGTGTGCTCCAGATTCTGTGAACCATCACCAGTGCTGGGTGGGTGTTGTACGGAGAGGGCCTGCTTGTCTTTCACAGCCACCCGGCTAGCTTACACCGGAAATAACCACACAGAAACTGTATTAATTAAATTACTGCTTGGCCCATTAGCTCTAGCCTCTTATTGGCTAACTCTCACATCTTGACTTAACCCGTTTCTATTATTAATCTGTATGTCACCACGAGGTGGTGGCTTACAGGGAAAGATTCAGCATGTCTGACCTGGTGGCTCCATGGTGGCTCTCTGACTCTGCCTTTCTCTCTCCCAGCATTCAGTTCTGTCTTCCCCACCTACCTAAGTTCTGTCCTATCAACTAAGCCAAAGCAGTTTCTTTATTCATTAACCAATGAAAGCAACACACAAACAGAAGGAACTCCTACACCAGGTGGACTCTGGTGGATGTAGCTATCTTTGAGTCAGTTCTGCTCCTCTAAGTAACCCTTCCTCCATATTCCTATGGGTGACCCCAATAAATGCACTGATTCGCCAAGTTGGACTTTGGTGGTAGCTGTACTTAGGTTTGTCATAGTTCCCCGTCAGAGGTGAGCAGAGGTTTGTCCACATCTGTCCAGGAATAGTGGCACACAACAAAAGCCAGCATATATCAGAGGAATGTAAGAGATGATCCAGAGACTTATGTAGAAGTTATGTAGTTATGTATTATATAGAAGATATTTGTCCAAATATGTCAAGTATAAATATGGGCTGTGAATCTATAAATGAAAATTTAAGAAAAAGCATTAACAGTGAGAAAGAAAAATTCTTTTAAATTAATACTGCTTCTTTGGTATACTAAGAATAAGCATTAGTTCAAAGTCTTTTTCTTTGAAATGATCTAGAATTCATATAGTAAGAGTTTACTATAACATCCTAATTAGTGGGAGTCAGAGGACAAATGGAGCAGTTCTCGAAGGGTTACTAAGCCTCCTTACACCCAGAAGGCAGAGTTAGAGTCAGCTGTCCCACTTGAACCTAGACAACAAAGACCACTTCTTTCCAGAGAGACTGTGGCCAAGAATGCGATGAACAAGGGTCAGAAGGAATCGCATAAGGAGATGAAACTGTCATTTTCCCCAGAGTTTACGTTCTTGGGTAAATTCCAGCCTCATACTTGCCTTTATTCTCCACCCTCAAAGAGAGCGGAGAATAAGGGTGAACCAAACAATAAGGCAAGCAAAGATGGCAGAGATTTCCACAGAAACATTTTACCTGCATGAGCTTGCTATCATGGCCGGTATATACCACAACACCAAAGACCCACTGAGTGTTCCTGAGCTGGGTGCCTCTTAGTAAGATCTGATCTGGCCCGAGGGCAACAGAGCTGAAAAAAAATAAGAAAAACATTTGTACTTTTTGATAATCTGTCCAATAATTATGTATTTTCCTTTACATAAGCCTACAATAAACCAAAGTCAAATCTGTGAATTTATTCTTTGTTTAATCTACTTATTCCACCCCAAATGCCTGCTTCATTCATTCTTTGCTGTAGAATAGAATTGAACTTTTTTCCTATAAAATATCAGAGAAGATTATGTCTCATAATCCTGTTATGAATACTGAAAAAGGGAATGCTAAAAGCCATGAGTTTACTCATTTCTGAAATTCAATTTACTTTATAGATTATGAAAGAAAAAAAACAGCAGTAAATGTTGTAGTGAGCAGACGAGCATCTGAGGGATGCTCTACAGAAGGGAAGATGCTGGATGGCTGGACGGGAAATGTCAACCGAGAAGCAGCCTTACCCTTGCTTATCGCTTTGAGCCCCTGTAGATTCCTGTCCACCCCCAATCCTCCACAGCTAAGAATCTATTCAAAGTATGGGGAAGAGCTCAGACAGTGGACTATGGAGTATCAGCAAGCAGACTACATGTCAACATCACAATGAAACATAACTTCAAACAGTAAATCATTCAACTTGTGTGTGTGTGTGTGTGTGTGTGTGTGTGTGTGTGTGTATGATGTCTACATTCATGTGCGTACGCCAGAGGTCAACATCATTCATCTTTCCACCTTGATTTCAAGACAGAGCCTCTCACTCTCACTGATCCAGCTGGCTAACCAATGGGCTTCAGGCAACAGGCAATCTGCACGTCCCCAGCACTGGGGTCGCTTGGATGTAGTCTGGGAGTCAAACTAAGGTCCTCATCATGCAGAACAGGCATCTCACTGCCTGTGCCTGTGCCGTACTCACAGCCCCGTTTCACTCAGCTTTCTAAAGCCAAGCAGAGCTGCAGTGAGGCTCGCTGGTGAAGTGTTGCTCTAGCATGTGCCAGGCCCAGCTGCAATGCACAGCACCACACAATAAATTAATAACTATAGAAACAACGCTTTTAGAGGAAAGCTAACAAGAAACTGCATCTGCCTCTATGCATCTGTCATAAGCTGAGTACACATCCACAGTATCATTTAAGGCAACTTGAACTGCTTGGCCTCAGCAGTCACAAGCAAGAAAGAATGAGCCCCTGTCTATGAACCCCGTGTGAGGTCTTTGGTTTGCTTCCTTTTAAAAATCTCTTCTGTCCTTCAATGCACGGGAAGTTTTAAATGGATCTAAACAGTGTGTCAGTCTCTCAGAAATGAGCTAAGCATGAAGAAATCTCACTATTTTCAAATACTATGAAACTAGGATTCTTCAAAGCTCCAGGAATTCTTGACCACATTAAAAAGGAGGAGGGAGAGAGGAGAGAGAAAAATCATTAAGAGAAGGCGATTCGGACCTCTTCCCATCCAAGTGCAAGTTGCCAGTGAAGTCGTAGAGGTGGCGATTGGGCCCTTCACATTCTATCCTTCCCGTCAGCTTCATCAGCACCTCCCTGGTCTGCATGTCGGCCGTGTGGCTCAGGCCCTGAAACGGAGCGACAAGCCCACAGAGAAGATCAAACAGTGCCATCCGTGTTTAAGAGACAGCACGATGGTCTGCCAGTCACAGGGACATAATAAGCCATCGCCCCCACCCCAAAGCTGCAAACAGTTGGACACAAAATGCCACGATTTCAACGGTGCAGAAGAGGAAGCCCCGACCCTTGCTAGAAACCTCCATATTTAAATAATAGTCTAGGTACTGAAACATAGGACAGGGAGCAGTGATACCAATGCCCTGCACTGCTGCTCAGACAGTCAGAAGGTCCTTTAATATTCTATAATATATAATATTCTATAGTATATACCACTGCTGCTCAGATCCTCAGAGGGTCCTTTAATATTCTATAATATATAATATTCTATAGTATATACCACTGCTGCTCAGATACTCAGAGGGTCCTTTAATATTCTATGATATATAATATTCTATAGCATACACTGCTTGCTACACTTAAAACTTTCAGCACTTTAGTCTGAAATTTCCTATCAAAATAGTTTGACAAACTTCATCAATGCTTCTTCAAGCAGAATAAAATTTATACCATAGAAAAAAGAAAGATACAAGGACAGAATTATTAAATTCAGTTTTAGGAAGCAGGAAAAAAAAACATAAAAAGAAAAATCCCTCAAGGGTCTTAAGTACCTAGTACTTTTTATTCACAAAATTCATTTAAATGCTTAATATTCTTATTCACAAAAGACTTTTTTAAAATATTTCAATACAACATGTGCTAAGAATGTTTTTTTAATTTATATCTATTTTGTGCTGAATTTACTTCTGTGACATAAGGTCCTTTATTTTCCTGAAAAACAAAATTTCATTTGGTATATTTGACCTGTTTTTCTCCTCCCCCAATTCCTCCCTGTACCATAAGGCTTGGTTCTATCAGTTTCTCCTAGGATGTCTTTTCCTTCCAAGCAACTTCCTCTTCTGGCTTTGGAACAATGGTTTCGCAGCCCAAGCAGGGCTAACTTGACCAAGGGCACTGTACAGGTGGTGGCCCATCCAGAGATCTTCACGACTAGAGAATCTATAGCTAAACTTCCCTCGCGTGTTACTCTGTATTTTTCAGCCCCCTTTTCAGTCAGAGAGCCCAGGTCTGGCCTGGACACCCCTACTAGCCTCCCAACTGTGGCATCGAAATGTTTTTAAACATCTTTCAGATACGTTCTAGCTTTTCAGATATGCAGATCCCTGGGAGCCTGGCCAGTATCCTGAGTGTCCTTAAAATGAACACAAAGACTTGAACCCTTTGTTTTACATGGTTTATAGGGTTTGCGGGGGAGGGATGGTCAAGATGTTAGTGAAACATTTTCACAGGTGAACCCCAGCAGCTTACAGGAAGAGTAGTAGGAATAGTTCAGGGTTCAGAAACTCCTGAAAGGAGTGGGCAGAGCTTAGGAAGATTTAAATGAGTCGTGACCCACTGAGCTGAAGAATCTCACTTTTCTGAGTTTCCTTCCCTCCTAACCTGAGGCACAGACTTCTTGAGCTTCCAGGAGGGTTTACCATGTAAGGTTCACAGCCGAACAACGTTTTCTCCACAAAGTGCGTGGGGGATATTTGTATCATATATATATATTTACAGCCTGACCTCCTGTAACAACGTGAGTCACGAAGTAACTTTACCTGTCGTATTTTAAGGTTCGTCTCTCCATCCAGGTTAGCAGTTTCAACATAGCACATCCCCTGAGGCTCACTATGAGGAAGGGGAAAAGCCAAGGTTAGTACAATCTTCTCCACAAAGCCTCAGCTCACGAAACCTCTGATGTGGAATCCGGGGGCTGAGTTTAAGCCTCCTGATGCTACTTTTAGGGGCCATATGACTTTGGAATGGTATTTAAGCTCTCTGTGCCTGGGTTTTCCACATACTAATATGAAAGGTGTCAGAGGTTAAAGGCTACTCACAGAGAACACCCACGCAGAAACAAGGAGCACCCAAAGCTATTGTTGGTGCGATAAACCATCTATGGTGAGCCAGCTTACCTGAGGTCACAGACAAGTTTCCTGGCCAAACTGCCAACTGACTTATATTCTAATAGTTTTCTCGTCACTATTGAATAGGGCCAATGAGTCGCACCTCTTGCTTATGGCTCTTTCCCCCTCCATTGGTTTGGGTCCTATCTTTAAACCTTTTATCCCTTGGTTTCCAATGCAAGACAAATCCTACACAAGAAACGTGGCTGAATTCCAAGAAAATGCAAACTGCTTAAACACCTGCACTTCCCAGTGGCGTATAAATAGCAGGGTTAGAGTCTTAACAATGCATCCTATAACCTTGAACTCAAGAACAGAAGTTCTTGGTTACCCTGGATTTGGCTTTCTTTCTTTGCTGTGTGTGTTCCACATATAGAGCCAAGAAGGCCAAGGGTGGCAAGACCCAGCTCCACACATCCCTGTGTGGTTATAACTGTTTGAAAGCCAAGGGTAATAATACCCAGCTCCGCCCATCCCTGTGTGGTGATGACTGTTTCTAGGACAACACTACCCAGAGATCAGCAACTGTTTGGGGCAAGAGTGAAGAGCAGGGCCTCCTCTGGGTTGTGTCTACGCTGAGAAAACGCCTCAGGTTCTAGAACAGTTGTTCCCAGGCAACGCTAAGAGCTAGAAGACAGACAGCTGGCTGGACTGACCAAGAAAGGGCTGAGGTCTCAGCCATGCTGCCTCCCGGGGTCACTGAACACTCAGTCCCTTTAATCCGTGTCTTGACCAGTGAGGTACCCTAGAGCTAAAGCCATGAATACCAGCAAAGGGGTTCTAAAAACCTAATGAGATGAAGAGGGGACAAAACTAAGCGAAACCAAAAAGCACCAGCCAAGGCTCACAACAGGGAAGGCAGTTGACAAAGCTCCAGGCTGAGGATCCCTAACTTAGCCAAACGCTTGAGGCTAGATATACTCCCGACTTCCACTGCTTCCGGTTTGCAAATGTTTGCATACACTTGCGTAACAACTGAACATCTCAGATCTCAACATCTGAAATCCAAAATGCTCCCCAAATCCAAAACTATAGTTCATTAGGGATGCTCAGCTCATAAATGAGGTCAGGCTTGTGGGAGGAAAACTCAGGGGCTAGAAGAGAACAGATGAATCAAGATTTCTGCAGTTCATTTAGTACTTTATTGTCCTTAACGTTCGTTTCGAAACCTGTGCCCACTGGCACACCTGACCTGGAGGAGAACAGGACCATGTCTGCTGGAAGATATTGCCCATTGAGGACCTTCACGATGTCTCCCACTGCCACCTAGAGACCAGGGCCGAAGACAAGGAAGCAAAGAAAGCACACATGTAATAAGGGCGGTTAAATACGTGAAGAAGAAAAGTTAGTCTCTAACTAAGCCACACCCGACAAGAACACAGGACAGATGCTTTTACTGCACCACAGCTGGCCTCCTACCCACAAGCTCCACATCTGTGAGTTTAGCCAGCTATAAATGCAAAATATTTGCCAAGCCAAGTGCATCTGCCCTGGAGTGGTGGTGCACACCCAGGATCCCAGCACATCTGCCCTGGAGTGGTGGTGCACGCCCAGGATCCCAGCACATCTGCCCTGGAGTGGTGGTGCACACCCAGGGTCCCAGCGCATCTGCCCTGGAGTGGTGGTGTACACCCAGGATCCCAGCGCATCTGCCCTGGAGTGGTGGTGTACACCCAGGGTCACAGCGCATCTGCCCTGGAGTGGTGGTGCACACCCAGTGTCCCAGCGCACCTGCCCTGGAGTGGTGGTGCACACCCAGGGTCCCAGAGTTTGTAGATTTAAGGCCAGCCTGAGTTGCACAGCAAAACCTTGCCTCAAAAAAACAAAACCAAACAAAGGAATAAAATATAAGCATCGACATTAGCAAATGAAAGCAGAAGCTGCCTGTGTGCTGACTATTTCCCTGGCATTGTCCCCTAAGCTGTGCACCACAGAAATGTTCCCATGGTGTTTCCATTGCATTGGGTTTCCTGTAATCTAGAGGTTTTATATTTGTGGGAGGACATCATATGAACGTTCTGTGCACTGTTTCTCTACCATACACACACACACACACACACACACACACACACACACACACTCTTTGACATTGTCCCTACAGACACTGAGAAATGACCATACTGCATTTTTTTTAGTTTTAATAATAGCTTCTGTGTGTCTGTCTGTCTGTCTCGGTGTCTATGTGCACATATATATGTACCAAAATGTAGGTGCCTGTGGAGAAAAGGGTGTCAGAGTCCCTGGGGCTGAAGTTACAGGTAGATGTATGTTGTTCTCACTCAATCACTGAGCCAACCCTCCAGGCCCAGCCGTTTCCTGAAAAGGATGGAATAAAGAGAAAGGAAGGAAGGAAGGAAGGAAGGAAGGAAGGAAGAAAGGGAAAGAAGGAAAAAAGGGAGGGAAGGAAGGAGGGAGGAAGGAAGAGATAGACAAGTATGAAGAACACGTTTTCTTCCAATTATCCACTGTCTCATATACTCAAACGTTTCAACAGTTGCTCGTGGTAGAGGGGTTATAGATGTGGCACTGAAGCTGGCCTGTGCAGCTGGATTGAGTCCCTCTCTAGGTCCCCTCAGCAGCACACATCTCACGGGACTGCTGATGGGATCAACTAAGTCAGGGAACTAAGTTCTCCTGCACCGCAAAGGGAGAAACTGAGCCCAAAGGCAAAATAACTGACAAAGGTCACATAACTGGAGTGTTACAGACATTAGTTATTTTGTAAATATGTATTATTGGCTTGTGTGCATTCCATGGTCTCTGCAAGAAGGTCAAAGGACAACCTCAGGCTCCAGTCCTCACCTTCCATCTTGTTTTTGAGACAGGACATTCCTTACTGTTTGCCACTCACTACGCTGCACAGTCCAAGCCAGGGAGCCCACAGCTTCTGACAGATTCTTCTGTTTCTGCGGCCCATCTCCTTATGGGAGCTCTGGGATCTCAGACGCACGCTGCCATGTCTGCTCTGATTGGGATCTCAGACACACGCTGCTACATCTGGCTTTGACATGGGTTTTTGGGGTCTAAACTCAGGCTGTCAATATTCCATGGCAAGTACAGAAATAGCGTACTGGGCTATTTCTCCATACAGCCACGGTTTAGAACTGAGGGGACACTAGCGCAGTGCACCCGTTAGAGGGTAACCAACTGCATCCTCCACGGGAAGTGCATTCTAACAGGCTCCGGGACCCTCACTTTGAAATTGAGCAACACCTTCGGATGGGTAGCACACGATACTTAGTTTTTTAAAAGCCAGCATGTATGTGTGTGTGTGTGTGTGTGTGTGTGTATATACATTAATGTTGTGGCATGTGCAGAATGGTAGCTGTGTGCACAATAAGTTCACTAAAACTTCAGGTCCTCATCTTTCACTTTGGATTTTTGGCTGCTGTTTTCTATTTTACTTATTCATGTGTTTTCCTGTGAGACAGACGACAGGCAGGCAGGCAGAGACAGAGAGACCTGAGTGAGCATGAGCATATATGCCACCACACACATGTGGAGGTCAGAGGACAATCAATCCCCAGGGGTTATCTCCTTGCACCGTGAGGGTCCTAGGCATGGAACACGGGCTGGCAGTAAGCACCTGTCCCTACTGAGCCACCTCCACTCATTGAGGTTAAGAAGTGAACACAGCTCCATGGCTTTAGGCACGGTACAGGTACAGGATAAGCAGAGACTCCCTAAGGGGGTTGGGTATAGCTTAACGGACTGTGTCGGCGTGGAGGTCAAAGCCAGCAGAATTCACTGATGACATGGGAAATAATTCCTAGTGCACTAATAGGTGAGAGGAGAGAAGAAGCACGGAGGCTTCTGCTCCTAGTCTACTCATAATGAATCTCAAAAGCCACCCTTGTGGAACCAACTGGATCATATAGACCAGCAGGTGCCATGGAACTTTCTTTTGGGCGATGGAGGTGAGTCAGTGGTAAGAGCAATTACCCAGAATGCACAAGGCCCAGTTCCATCTCTAATACCACCACCACTACTAAACCCACTGATTTTCTGTCAGGAAATGGGAGGTGTTTAAACAACTATCCTACAGGTACAGAAGAATGCTTATCAAAGGCCAGAACAGCAAACATTAAAACCCAAACCCCGGGTCACTTGAAATTAGCATCAGATCACAAGTCAGTATGCATTCTGAAGGCAGAAGAAAGCACAAACCAAAGCTGATTCCTAATAACATAGAGCAAACACGGGATCGCTCATGCACACTGAAGATGTTTTTAAGTAAAAATATATTGCATAAACAGTTTAGAAAAAGGAGCAATTGATTAAAAAAAAACTAGAAAGAAAAATTAGTCTTTTTAAAAGAATTAGTTCGAGACCAGCCTGGTCTACAAGTGCTAGTTCCAGGACAGTCTCCAAAACCACAGAGAAACCCTGTCTCAAAAAAACAACAACAACAACAAAAAAAAAAACAAAAAAAAAAAACAAAAAAACAAAAACAAAAACAAAAAAAAAGAATTGGATTCTCTTTCCCTGATTCAAAACATGAGGACAAGCAAGATAGTGTTCACTCTTCTCCAAAGGACACTCACGTCCCAGGAACTGGGTGCTAAGAGGTTCCAACTACAATAAGAAGCTGCCAACTCCTAACCTGGAGATGGTCTTCTCTGTGGATGTCCTAACACATGACCAACTATTCCAGGTGTGTGTGGTATTCGCTGAAAGAATTAGCATAGTGAGCAAGCTGTTCTGGGCCCTTGGATTCACTGCAACCTCAGAAGGCTCCTCCTGTCTCTCAACTAGACACAGCTAAAGCACCCTTCTGAGTTGATCCCACTAATGAGATCTTCCTCTCTGAGATTCCCAGAGTCGGGCAAAACCCAGGGGCTGCTGTTAGAAATGGAACACATTCAGGGGAGCACAGCTCTGTGTGGCTCTCCAGGACACCTGGGCGTTTCCTACCCTCTGCCTTGAACATCTTTTCATGACCCCTGCCAAGTTAGCCAGGGGCACTGCGCTACAGTGAGCTGCCCACGTAGACAGCAGTAGCCTCACTGTGAACTTAAAACAGCAGCTCCAGGGCCCCTATATTCTGGGCATAGGGTGCATGTGTGCTTGACCAGTGCTGAGTACCTGCTGGTTGAGGGCAACTCCACAAGAACACTCCAGTATGATCTCCATGCCTGACAGTCTCGGGCCTCTGCTAACAGACCCACTTAAGACGGCTCACCATAATGCACTGAAAATTGAAATCACAGTCTATCCTGCCAGGCCTATAACAAGGGGTGACATTCCAAGCATCATGTGGGAGGAGGAAGGAACTTCAGGTGTCCATGAGGCCACCAGCTCTTGGATTCAGAAATCAATGACCACCCCTCAGGTCCCGCTACTACTTCAAGTGGTGTCAAGACACTTGGACGCAAGTCATTTTTTATCTGGCCACTGTTTGTGCCTTTCTGAGGCTGGAGCAACCAGAAGATTCCTGGGGAAAGGAGGAGCTATGTATGAGTATTCTCCACTTCCCACTGGCAGGTACCAGATCTCCCCCGGAAATTCTGCCTTTTGACCAAGAACCATCACACTGGACTACCAAAGTTCAGGAACCCCAGGAGACCACAAGGATTACAGTGTTCCACAACACTACAAAGGGGAGCTTTCTGGAAAGGGTAGATGGTTCTCATAAACTGGTAAAATCAAATGAATACCACAGGGGGTGCTGTGGGCAAACTGGCAACATTGTTTCCCACACAAGGGTTACAGGAGGCACTTGCTGGAACTTAGATCTATTTAAGCAAGAAACAATACTTGAAGTTGCCTTTCTAAAACATTGTTTTCTCTTAAAAAACAAACAAAGCCATCAGTTTTGAACGTCAGAATGATGAACAGCATCTCCAAACTCAATACTGTGTGTCCACCAACAGAACCCAGCTAAGATAGACGAATAGCTGGCTTTTCAGGTACAAAACACCAAGACAGCACAGTTGATTTCAGCTGACAACTAACAACGTCTTTCCTCCCTGAATGGAACCCTCCCACTGCCATCAGCATGAAGGAAAACCACCCTTGCTACCACTGTAAGGATAAAAGCAGCAACTGGCTCCACACCCTGCCTGGAAAACCTGCTGGCGCTCAGATATCTTTCCACCAAACACATCTGAAGTGAGACTCTCGGAAGTTAAAAGACAACAGCTCTAAACATTTGAATTTAGCTGAAGAGGAGACAGGAGGCAGGGTGGGGGGTGTTTCTCACATGGGATTTTCAAACTAGAAGAGCTATGAAGTTCTGAAACTCTCCTCGGGGAATAACAATGGTCACAGCTTGAACATTATTACGTCCTTATAGAAGAGGCCAGAAAGAAGGAAGCGCATGTCGGTTCTCACAGGAAAGCAGACTACACGAGAAAACTCTTACAAAGTGGTCATGACCTGGGCCTTAGAGCAAATTTTATATTGCACATCAACGTCGGCAATTTGCGACAAGTCTCCAAATCAATACTTTCTGGCATTATCTTTAAAATTGGTTCTTACCTCTTTCCACACAATGGTATGCCACATACCATTTCTTAACACTGTAAGAGAAGAAACAAGGCACTGGTTAACACTGTCAAGACTCAAAATAAAATGCCAGCTTTCTACAAACCCAAAAGGCTTCTGGGAAGCTTGCACTTATTAATTCTATCAAATCACATCCTTGGTAGAATGGTAGATGACCAACCATGCCAACATGGGCCTCCATATGTGTCCCGCTACAAGATAAGAGCTTCTGTGTGCACGTAAGCAAACCAAATTTATGCTTAGCTAGGAAAAGAAAGGCCTGGTGTTACATAATTCCAATAGGAGCAACAATAGCAACAAAATACTGAAGTGATACAAAAAGCAAAATAATGAGGAAAGCAAGTAACAAACCATGGTGGGGAACCTGTGAAACTTGTAGGGACAGAAACAGAAATCCTGTCTTCCAGAGTATACAAATCCCATTGATATAAAGACGAACATCTTATTTTAGCACGCTCCCATTTCTTTAAAGATTTTATAGATAATGTTTCTGACTTAATCTCAACGTCCATAGCCACGATCAAGCATTACTTCAGCCTGGGACTGATCGTTCAATCAACACTGAGAAGAGCAATGAGCTGGCAGCTTACCTATTGTTTTCTTCTTGTTAACTGCACTGTCTGCCTTATGTCGTTTCTGTCACAGGAAAAAAAGTAAAGGTTCTTACATCCAAATGTTCCAAATGAATAATTGAAATAGAAAGCAGTAATATCGGGGGGTGGGGAGGTGATAGGGGCCAAGAACCCTACAAAGCCAATGCTGTAGATTTAAGCTGGGTGGTTCGCCATCTGTCGGCGCTGACTAGATCTAGATATGGCGATTTGGAGCTTAAGTGACTTTTGGTTCTAATCATTTACAAGCCTTTCAAAGTTTCAAATTCCTCACAGTTATTTGTGGACAGCCTGAAACAATGACTCGCTATTATAAACCTGACAACAAAGAGCAGGTTTCACTCTCAAGTTAATTTACTATGTATTCCATGAAATATGTATGTGGGGGCGGGGGGAGTCAAGTGTGTGTATGGGTGTGTGTATGCAAAACAGAGACAGAAAGAGATAATGGCAACATGGTAGTAGCCAAAGAGGTGTGAGGGAGGTATTAGGAGGAAGAGTCTTGGGGAATTACTTCAGGCCCAACAAACACAATGCTGCCTGCAGAGAGAGTGCTAACTAAAGGTTTCATCTGATACCTGAATACAGGACTCTAAAGTAGGATCCAAGAACTAACAGCGATAGACACCAGCAAGGTTCTAACCAAATGACCCAGGACACAGAAGCGCCTCAGAGCCGCTGCACAGGCATTTGGGGCTCTTGGAGTATACCTTCCTCCCCAGCAAACACTACCGCTCCACTAGCAGCTGCTTAAGCCGTGGCCGTTTCCTGTAATGTCACCCAGTCACATACACCACAAATGTCGTAACACCATGTTTTAGTATGCAGAGTTGAAAACTTACAAAGTCTTCTACAATCTCTTTGATGCCTGCAATTGTTAAAATGATGATCAGTGGCACCAGGGTGGTGTATCGTCCGGTCGGCGATACGTCTGGAATTTGCTGGAAGAGAACACAATAGAGAATGTGGCACACGGGCGTCTCCACAAAGACAGAAAATGTTGTCTGAGGTTTCTTTCCTGCCCGGTTCCCTCAGTCGTTAGGTCCCCAGAATTCCCCTGTTCTCACTGACCCGCCTCTACTTCCCGTCTGGTTGTCCTGCCTATACTTCCTGCCTGGCTACTGGCCAGTCAGCATTTATTTAAAACATAATTGACAGAATATAGACAATTGTCCCGGACCAGGAAAGCATGGAGCTCAACCCTTGCTCTCACTGGTCTAGTCCATTTCTGTTATACAACAAAAGGCCTGCTAATTCAAAACTAATTATGTAGTTTACGTGTTTGGAAAATGGGTTAAAATATGACCGTGGTGGTCAAAATACATGTATGGTACATATGTTTACAATATCACAATGGGATATAGTATCTAATATAATAAATGGGTATTAATAAAAAAGAGATAAAGCAAACATAAAAAGCATGACCCATGAGAACGGGTTCCCCCTCCTCTTGTAGTAACGACTCTTCTCAAGGCATTCTCTCCTGCGAAATCTCACTTTACATGTAATTGAATTTGCAAATTTTAAGCACTTAAAAAATTACCTGTAATAAGGCAATGAAGAGGAAGAAGGCATTAGCAGCTCTCCTAATCTGCTCATACAAGAATCGAGGTAGAAACGTCAACACGCTGTACTTGGCCGTACTGAAAGAACAAAGCAAGGACCACTAAACAAAGCGACCCCTAACAGCATGTCCTGTGTAGGAGGGCACAGCTGATAAGAGAAGCTTCCCAGATGACTTCAGTTCAAACTCTGATACGCACATTCAACCTTCCCATGTGGTGATCAGGCCATTTACCCCCATCTGGGAGCTACATGCAAAGAGTAACACATGTGAAAAGCAGTTCAGTGAAGCCCCGTGCACATGACATGCTGTGGATTCACCCACACCTAAAGAGCTTCCATTCCCCGTCCTTTGCTCAGACTTTGGCTTCGCCTGGCCACCCTCTCCCTTCACCCTGTAGCCTTCTAATGAGTGATCTTTCTCTCATCTCATCCCAGTTACATCATTAGCTTCCATTAAATTTAGTCAAATTCGACAGCGCCCTTCTGCCTTCAAACCCACAGTGGTTATTCTCAGATCATGTTGCCTCTGCTTTGATTCAGACATCAGTCCTCTGCGTTCATAGATTGGAAGGAAACTGTATCTGTACTGAACAATACAGGCTTTTCCATTGTAATTCTCTAACAGGCATACTATAATGATGAGTGCCATGGCATTTGTATTGCACTGAGATATAATCTGATCATCCTCTCAATGTAATGCAAAAAAGCATGGGAGGAAGTGTGTGGGTTCTATGCACAAGCAATTGCATTTATAGAAAGGACTAACAGCCATAGATTTTCATATCTCAGGAGGTCTGGAATGAATCCTGACTGGATACTGAGGGATGACACTATTTCTCTGTGCCCCAGAAGAGGTTACTGGAACAGGGAAAATGTGCACTTTACCTATGTTTGTTCCCCATCATAGGACATAGCAGTTAATGAACAAGGAAGTAAACTGAACCAAAGAGAAAATGAGAGCCAGAGTGACTCCAGGCCTGCTCTCTGAAAGTATGACCCTAAGCCTACTATTTCCTTTATTTGGTTATTTTTATGTATTGTTTATTTTTATGTGTTGGCTGTTGAAACAAGGTCTCATGTTGGTGAGGGTACTCTCAAATTCACTTTGTAGCTAAGGTGACCTTGAATTCTTGATTCTCCTGCCTCCACCTCTTAAGTGCTAAGACTAAAGGTTCTAAACCTATTGTTGAGTATAGTCATGCAAGGTATAGCAGGTTCCAAATGCACACACCAGAAGAACCAAAGCAGAGGGGCCAAAACCCAAGAGACAGCATATTCAGGATGTTGTGAACTGCTGTCGGCCCTGACAGCAACTGAGGCCAGAGCAACAGAGCAAAAGCCAGGCTGACAATTCAGAACTACAACACATTCTTACTTTCAAGGTTCCCAGAGGGAAGAAAAGAAAAAAAAAAGAACTGGTAGTTGAAAGTAATTATCAGTTTACAAAGCACAAAAGCTCACACCAGTAAGGTAAAACTATAGAAAGCACCTGATTATACATTAGAACCTAGAATTCCATCTGTGTGACAAATGCACACAGTGCACAGACATGCACACACAAGTACACACACATACATACGGATCTAGCAAATGACTCTTTCGAGGTTGAACACCTTCCACTTCAGCAGAGTTCTGAGTATGTTTCAGGAGCCCATACCACGAAGGTGGAGAGCTGGGAAGGACAGGAGTGCTCCTCACACCAATAAAAACAGGAAATATTGCTGGATACAGGAAAAAAGAGCCAGTGGTTTTCTCCTGAGGCAGAATGAGCAAGGCCAGCAACCCATTCCTCTAGGAGAGAATCACTGTGTGGCATTGGATATGATTATTTATAAAATTATATAAATAAATAACTCAGTACACACTTGTCTCTCTGGTGCACAGAGGAGATATTCTAGGTCCCTCCGAAGACACCAAATCCAGCTTTCACGAGAGGCCAGTGCTGTTGGTCCAGGGACCATGGTTGCAGGAGTGGGGTTTTAGAGAAGCTCCCAAGAAGGCAGGGTAGTTCACACTTCCCATCTGGATGTAGTCCAGCTGTGGAATTCACATTGTGAGATTTTACAATGTGAGGGGAACAGAGTGGCAGGGGCTTTAGCAGCCAGGTGTCAGGAGAAAGACCATCTATAATGCTGACCGTGCACATGAAGAGCTGCTGGCTGCACTGGCTCCCCAGAACAAGAAAGGCTGGGACTGATAACTATGAGTTTCACCAGTGGCTCAAAGTGTGAGTTCCCCCCGAAGAAGCCTCCAGAAACCTGCCTGTTGAACCGGCTTAGCACGCATCTCCCAACCGTGAATAGTAAATCCACTAGAACCTTGAAAGCAGCCATACCACCTCTTCTCTTGTAGACATGCAGAACACACATCTATCTGCTCAACAGTAAAGGTGTCATTTAATAGCCACCGAGAGAGTAGAAGGCCAAACTGAAGTCCGCATAAGATGCTGGTTTAATGTACAGACTGATGTTTCAGGTCCATGTTCTGGGAGCCCCACATCCTCCCAGTTCCCTGGAAGACACCATCCCATCTCCTCTTGAGGATGCTTGTTTTGCAGAGTGGAGGTGAAACCCAGTGGAACGCACTCTCCTAACATGCTCAAGGCCTGGGTTTGAATCCTAGGACAACCAAACCAAGCTGCTACCAAACCAAACCACAGTGTGGCTCAGCAATTCCACAAGCATGATAACACACTCCCATAAGCCTAGCACTAGGGAGGCCAAGGTCAAAGATCAAGAGTTCATGGCCAAGTTAAGCTGCACAGTAAGTCAACAGGTCAAAAATTGACAGGGAAGGAAGAGACAAATGGGGAAAGGAGAAAGGGAGGGGAGGGCAAGGAAAGGAGGAGGAGGGGAAGTCACTAAGGGGTTGTAGACTACCAAGATTTGAAGGGAAAAAAGAAGACAATATTAAATGTCCTAAGAATTTATGCATGTCTTTCTATAAGTTTATTTATTCTTTTTTTTTTAAATTTTTTTATTTATTTATTATGCATACAATATTCTGTTGGTGTGTATGTCTGCAGGCCAGAAGAGGGCACCAGACCTCATTACTGATGGTTGTGAGCCACCATGTGGTTGCTGGAAATTGAACTCAGGACCTTTGGAAGAGCAGACAATGCTCTTAACCTCTGAGCCATCTCTCCAGCCCAAGTTTATTTATTCTTAATTCATTTATTATTTATTCATTTTATGGTGATGAAGATTAACAGGTTCTATTGAAGTGCTCAGTTCTAACTGAAGCACTCCTGTTAGTCTCCCACATACACACAGGATTGGGCATAAAATCAAAGTATGCGGTCTGAATTCTCATACCTATGCGTATTCTCATAGACAAAAGTTGCCCCCATCCTTTAAGAGAGAAGCCTCTCTGACAATGAACAGCGATGAATGCAGACTTGTGGCTGCCCAAGATGCTGAGAATAAGTGAAAGCTGTGAGCTCACCCCTAAAGGAGTCATTTTCACCTCCCCGTCTAAGGTCCAGGAAGCACTGCAGAAGAGGAGGCAGGAAGTGCATGCGAGCTAGAAGATAGGAGTTAAGAGCCGTGGAAGGCTATTCTCTAGACCAGTGATTCTCAACCGGCGGGTTGCAATCCCCTTGCGGATGGCATATCAGATATTTACATCACGATACATAACAGTAGTAGAATTACAGTTATGAATTAGCAACAAAATAATTCTATGGTTGGGGGTCACCACAACATGAGGAACTGTATCAAATGGTCTCATCATTAGGAAGGCTGAGAACCACTGCTCTAGACTCACACAACCATGGCAATCATTAGCTCACAATAACTATGCTCTCTCCCACTGGGTTCACATAGGGCTAGCCCTGGCAACGATCGGTCACAAAAGAAGGAGGGGCTCACAGTGCTGGCTATTGATAGATTCTGGAAGGGAATCGCTGCCTTGAGTTGTGTCCTAATTGCCCTGGTTAAACTCAGCAGATCCCAAAATCAAACAGGTAGACATGAACATGGAAGGTAATGTATGGAGAGGGGGCAGGGAGATGACAGAGTTGCTGGAAATGACTATGCAATGAGACAACTGAGTTAAAAGCCAGGATGTGGCATATTGTGTGCATGCAACAGGGCCAGGGACATTGGTTCCAAAACTGGGCCCCAAGTTCAGTTAAACAGCTTTTCTACGCCCTCTTTTTCCCCCATAGAAGTCTAGGGTGACATACATTTTGATTGGATAACTTAGTTTGCTTAAAAGGATTTGTCGAAGTACCCTACAGAAGCAGAAACTTTTCCCCCCGAGCAGCAAATTTGCCATAAGCCATTTATAGGGCAGAGTGGAGGAAGGAGTTTAGTTACGCATGAGTCAGGGTAAGATTTACAAGGGTGCTAGCCTGCTGCAAAGGTTGATAATTGTACTATAACACGTGTTTTCTAAAGATACAAAGCTATAAAAAACATATTTGCAAAGAGAAAAAAACAATTAGACATTGGGCTTCTTGCTAGTAACACAGACAGCTAGAGAAACACGCCAGATTTTTATAACCCAGCCAGACTGCACTGTATTCTACACATTTCGCGCTCTTAGGAAGCTCCTTACTGTACCAGGGGCATCAACAGAACTGGATAGCAATTACTGACTTACTGAATCACTGCACACTGCCTATAAATTGAAGAATCCCAATGAACACCATAAATAAGTATTGCAAACAATTACTTTTTTTTTTAAAGAAAGAAAACATACATTTCAGCCAAAACCTGGGGATATAACCCAGGAAAGTCTTGCAATAACCACTTTAGAACATCGCTCTACAGTGACCAATCTGTCTAGTGAGGAGCTTGCTGGTGTAAACATACAGACCACTTGACAGCATTACTTCCAAAATACAGAGAAGAGCCAGCGTGAAACAGCGCTAGAGGGCTCCCCTGGCATGTCAAGGACCAGGTTCCATGCCTAGCACTGCAAAAATAAAATAACATACAAATATAGAGAGGATGGATAGTATAAATATATAGAGATATTAATATGCAAAAATTGTTGAAGCTGAAAGGTGAGGATGGGAAAATGAGTTAAACTACAAAAGAAGGAACCACGACCCACCACTTCACCATTTAGC